AAATATGTATATGAATAAGGATCAAACTTATATTAATGTAAATGTCATATTTTTTATTTTTAAATTAAAATTAAATTTACAATACTTCTATTTAATTATTTTAATTTAATAATAAAAAATATAACACTTACATTAATAAATCCCTCTTGTATCAATATGAGGGAGACACAAAGCCTAAAAATGAAGTTCACCAATGGCTTTATTTAAGCTTTCTTTGAAATTCAAACGTCGGTGACACCACCAACGTATGCCCCCTACGACCTCATAAATATAAATTGAAAGCTCGGATTTGGTTCAGTGAACTTTCACCGTCTCTGAACATTTTATTTAACATACCCAGTCCTTTCTGTTCTTGGGTTGGTGGCAAAGTCAATGCTAGCATTTGCAAGGCGACATCCACATATCTCTGCTTGTCTCGTTCATTAACACTAGAATTAGATTCGGGTTTCGCTGTAAAATTATTTTTTATTTTCTAAAACTATATTGTAAATATAAAAAAATAAAAATTTTATATCAAGTTATACTGGATGATAATATATAGATAAATAAAATGTTTTTAATTTTTAATATAAATTATAATTTAATTATATATAAACATAATTTTTTATTAAAATAAGCTATTAAATAATATTTTTATTTATATACTCTATAAAAATTAAATATTCTTTTACATATTCCAAGGAGTATAGGCAAAACACCTCAAATTCAATCTCAACTTAATTCAAATAATTTTAAAAAATAAAACTTAACTCAATCTTTATTTTTTTAAAAAAATTATATTGATTGAATCGTAACAAATTGAAATATATATAAGTTATTTTATCATATCTACATCCATTGATTTTTTTTTTATAAAGTTTTTTTAAAAAAATTATTATAAAAAGAAATTTGCATATGAATTTATTAAATTAAGATATTAAATAATAGTTTTAAATAAAAATATATATAAATAAAGAATTAAATAAATAACAAATATATATTTTTATATATATCAAGATTAAGACATAACATTCAAAATTTTACTCTAACTCGAGCTTAATTTAAAAATAAAAAACTCAACCTAATTATTTCAAATTAAAATAAAGCACACCTATTGAATCAAAGTAAATCGAAACTAATTTGATACAAATTATTTTATCATATTTATTTCAATTGATTTTTTATTACAAATTTTTTTAATAAAAAATAAAAGTAAAAAAAATAAAAAACCAAAAATAATAAAAATAAAAAAGGGAAGGTGCCACTTGAGACAAAAAAATATATTTTAAATCTACTTTTAACCTGATCTCATTTAAAAAAAATTGATTTGATATCGATTTAAAAAAATGCATTTATGTTAAATCAATTGGAATTAAAACTAATTAAATACGGATTGTTTTATCATTTTAAATTTTTTTTTATAAAATTTTTTAATAAAAAATGAAATAAAACAATATAAACATAAATTAGTTAAAAAAAAAAGAATGAAGTGAAGAAAGGGAAAGGTCCTACATGGAGGATCCCACCTTCCTCCCATCTTTACAACTTTAATAATGTGGATACATGTTAACGGGTTTGCTGGTCCTAAATATAGAATGCGATAGCATTGAAAATATAACATTGAAACGTCAGGTTAGTTTTGAAATCCTAATAAGAAGGATCTCAAACCATTTATGGTGGCTGAAAAGACAGCGAAAGCAAATGTGCTGCGGTGAATTAAAGATTAATTTTGATAATTTAAAATACAAAATGATAATATGATATAAATATAATATAAAAATAATAATTTAAAATTTTAATAATAATTATATATAAATTTAATAAAATTTAAAAAATATATTTTATATTTTTATATCAATACGAATTATAATATATAATTTTTATATATAAATTTTAATATTTTATATAAAATAAATACACAAATTGAGTTTAATTAAAATGAAGTTGTAGGAGGATATAACGCCTGCAATGCTCCCAAACCTCCCAAACCGCATTTCATTTGCTTTGTCTTAACTGCTTTGCTATTTTTTTTTTCTCCGTTTAGTTGAGTGTCTTCAAGATGTATGAAATTAAATTAATGGGTCAATAATAAGTTATAATCGTAATAAAATAATCTTTTATTTGTCACAATTACATTTTATAACTGAATTTCTAGAATTATATTATGGTGAGAGGGACTTTTACCGATAAGGAAAATCTTCTATAATTGCTTAATAATGAGAATTACTATTTACTCTTTAACGTTGCGTTTAATGCATAAAAAGAATGATTAAATAAAATAATAATTATTTTATATTATATTTAATTTATATGTAAAGAAAAAAATGTTACAAGAAGCATTAATATTTTTTTGACATACAATTATTTAATCCTTTCAATTAAAATAAAAATTTTATTTTTTAATTCATAAAATTAAATTTATATATTTTATTATATAAAATAAAATAATATTATTTAATTTAATTTAATTTATAATAATATTATATCTTACTTTATTATAATTTTACGTGACAAATATAACCTAAACCTCTTAAGTAATTGAGAGAGTGATCTTATTTTCATATATATTATATAGTCTAGTGCAGTGTGATTTCACTCTTACAAAGAAAGTGGCTGAAAATTCTAACAAGATATTCTAAAGACGAGCTTAAATTAAGCTTGATGCAAATGCCAAGCCTTGGTCTGGTTAATGATGGAGATGTGTGAGAATGGAAGTCGTAAAACTTGTGCAGTTAATTTCTTTCCAAAACCTCAGTGAAAAAGATTTTTGATTTGCCTTCAGTGCAACTGACATAACATAGTAATTACGACTGCTGGAAGAGGTGTACCAAAGGGTGTTCTACAAGGAACATATCCAAAGGCTAAACCACCAATTTCACCTTTTGCTGGGACCCTTAGTACTATTATTGAAGTAGCAAACAACAAATTTCTAGTAGACCTAGCGTCAATTGGGAATTGAGAGGAAAGTCTTTTCCCTGGTCCCCCTTTCACCCACTTCTTTTTTCTTTTTTTTTTAATTTTAATTTACTATTGAAATCTCTGCTTTGTATTTATTTGACAGGAAATATTACGCGTCTAAATCTTTTAAAATTTGTAATTTATAAATATTAACTTTAATTTTATATCAATCGTTTCAAAAATAAATATGATTTGCTTCTTTCTCTCTAATTTGCTTGGAAAAAGAGTAGGAAGCTTTAAGCAAACATCAAACAGGTTGACTTATGGCTTGATTCTAGAAATCAGGGATGACCAAGTTAGAATATTTTTTAATTTACCTAATGCAGCGTTGGAATTTCGTATGCCAACTTGTTCAAGTCTTATCTCCTAGTCTTTTTTAATTGAGGAAATGGATTAGGAATTTAATTAAGAAAATGGATTGGGACTGTAAGAAGATATTTTAGGTGTGAAATGATAGGATGGAATGAAGAAATTGATGGTGGGTACTCGTGTTGCTTCAAGAAAATCAAATTTCACTACAGTTGTGTGAAAAATGCCTATTTCGTTCCAATTTAATTTGGACCCAAGGTCAAAGCCTAGTTTTTTTTTTTTTTTCTTTAAATCAAATTATTGAGTTTTTCAAACGCCACATGAAGCAGAAATAAGCAACTTTCTGCTTTCTCATGGGAAGAAGTTTAATATTCAGATTAAAAAAAGGAAGAAATTAACATTTAAGTTGAAAACTTCTAACTTAAGGGTTTGAAAAGACAGTTCAAAACCCTTTTTTCTCATTGAAATTGAAATTGAAAAATGCTTTTTTTTTTTTTTTATCATAACCAATACAATTGTTGAAACTTTGAATATTTTTTAATAACATGAAAATTACTTTTTTTTTCATTAAAAAAATCAAATTAATAAGATTAACGTGTTAAATTTATGTGAATGTTTTTGTCTATTTTCTTTATTTGTAATGATTATAGAAGGTTGGTGGTGTTATGGATTCTTCCATAAAGGTGGTGATAAAAACATGTAAGTTCACATTTAATGTCAAAACCCATTTATTTATAATAATTATGCTAAATCTTATTCAAATTGTTTATAATGGGAAAAATTTTTAGAGTTTGGTCACCATTTTAATTCTTTAGTGATGATTAAGAGTTGATTTAGATGCGTATCGAGATTAGTTTTAATGAAAATAAAAATAATAATATTATTAAGATTAATTATTATAATAATGATATTAAAATCAATTATCGGATGTGTGTTTAAATATAAATACAATAATAATGATAAGATGAAGTCTAATAAGAAAAAAATAATTATTAAAGATATTATATTAAAATTTGTATATAATAAGATATATAATGTATATTTAATATTTATGAAATTAATAAATAATTAAAAATATATTATAATTATTTATGTATATCAAATAAATTATCAAATGGATAACTTACTGAGTTAATCCAACAAAAGGCTAGATTCAATCGCACTAGAAGATTTAATAAATGAGCCAAAAGACCAAAGAACTAGGAGATATAAAGAATAAGATTGTTTTTTTTTTTGTTTTGAACTATAAAATGATATGCATTAATTAGATAATACCAAATAGGCTCTAACAAATACTAAAAAAATTATTAATTTTTTTTTACATATTTAACATTGTCAAAGATTAATTCTTTTTTAATAATCTTGTACTCCGTTGATATTAGAGTTTAAATGATTGTATAATAAATGAATTAAATTTTGATAATTAAAATTAAAAATTTAATATTTTATCTACAAATTATATATTTATCGACTTATATTAAAAGTTGAACGTACTTTAAATTAATAGGCTTTTAGCAACAAATAATTTGGATTAGCAAGAACATTAAACCAAATAAAATATGGAATATGGGAATTTTCATTTATTAACATTATTCATTCATTTAATTTACTAAGAAATTGCAAAATAATTTCAAATTGAGGGAATTTTTTTTTGGTCATAGTAGATTGTGGGATTCTCATATAGCCTATATTAGCAACCGAAATATGGTTTTGGGACTTTTCACTGATGGGGAACTCTTTTGAAAGAAGGCCGTTCAAGAGAGGCTGCGTTGTCCGAACTTGGAACGACAGCCTATCATTGGTCAGTATCACTAACTACACTCTAAACCTTAATTACCATTGATTAAATTCGAGTAGGACCCACAATAATGAAATATCGACGGTTGCAAATCAGCACTGGCATAGGAGATAACTCCTGTGACAGTAAATGTGAGAACAGACACTTTCAGAACATCAGAACTTTGCTGTGGTCATTGGCTTAAAGACGACGAAGAAGAGCCTTGTACTCGGTGTTGTCACTGGAGACTGGAGAAGGGCTGTCCGTTGACGGGTCTTTTGTTTTGTTTTGTTTTTTGATCTTTGTTTTGATTAAGTCTATAACCAAAGTTAAGAAACTTCCATTTTTCTTTCAATTTCATTGTCCAAAAAAAAAAAAAAAGGTCAACTGCTTCTTTATAGGCAAGGCAGTTTTTGCTTTCTTGACATGAAGATTTTCTTAATTTTCCTCTTGGGGTTTTCGTTTCCTTGGTTGCCTTGTTTTGAAGGGCTCTAAAAGTTTTCATTTCTGGGATTCTCTTACGTTTTCAAGGTTCTCCTTTTTTACATTATAGTCATCTGTGGCTGTTAAGCTTGTTTTTTGAGTGTTGGGGTCATCAGCCAGAGCAAGAAACTTTCTTTTTATTAATGAGCAATAAGATTATGCAATCGGCTTGGTCGTCTTTAAAGCTTTTTTTTTGAACTATTATTTCCTTTTCATCTTGCTCATCTATGGTGGAGCTGCAAGACAATTACTTTTGATACCTTGAATTCTACTTTGGAGTTGAAAAAAATTAGCCTTTTATTATGATGGGTTTTTGACTGTTCTGCAAGTGGGAGTCTCACTATCTCTGGTGGCAACTATGGTATCTTCTCTGAAGTGCTTACTTATTTAAGTTGCCAACTATTTTGTTGTGGTTATTTTGCTCACTAAAGAGTCTTTGGCTCTAGTGGTTCGAGTTCTGTGTATTTGGTGTTGTTCTATAGCTTAAAAAATACACATACAGAAAAAAAAAAAAAGGAACTTCTCTTCATCGTTGCTCTGGTTTCCACATCACTAAGTGAGTTTGCTCTTACCCTTCCCTCCTTAATCTGTTTCACAATTCCCATAATTGCTTTTCATGATTAAGTTCAAAATTAATACTATTTTTAAATAACCTCACATCCTAATGAAAGAAATATTCAAAAGCATACTTGATATTCTTATGATTATCATGACTAAGCACGCTGGTATACATAATATGTATTCTTTTTTGGGCGGGGGTGGGTGGGGGATGCGGAGTACAAAGGCCCGTTGGGTATGTTTTCTATATCTTTCTTCTTTGACTGATGTTTCACCAGTCTGAGCTAAGGGTGCATAGTTGATGAAACCATAAAGCTACACTTACAAACGTTAGCAAAACCAATATAAAAAAAAAAAAAAAAAACCCTTTTCATCTTTTATAGCTTAATAGATGTCTGGTATGTTTGAGAATTATATTATTGTGATGAACTTCTAGCTCCTACTTGTGAGCCTGTGCTGGTTTGCAGTTTCTGATCTGCGTAACTACTTGACTCGTGTTCTGTTGCTTTAGTCAGGATACTATCTCTTGAATGGGGACTGATGCTGCCGAAGTTTTGCAGACTCCATCCTATCCTAGTTCCTTTAAGGTACAATTACTGAGTGTGGTTCTCTTTTCTGTTTCAACATGAAATTTTGGATTTAAGTAATTCGACTTGGTCTGCGGCCTATGTATTTTAAAAGTAGATATTTTTTGCAACAAGAAAATAAATCTTTACAATTCATACATGACTGTATAGTTTGATTGTTTCTGAGTAAAATGACATAGATTTGCTTCATTCATTCAAATTTTCTTGAGTTTTTGCTTGTATATAAATGATCATATCATCATACTCGTGTCTGCTTTAAGGTGCTTGGCATTCATCAAACGTGGGTAAGCTTTACTTTTGAATATTTTAAAGATGACAATTTTCTCGTAAATTATTATTGATGACTGTAGGTGCATCACGTGATGTGCACAGAACTTAGGATGTTGGTTGATAGAATTATAAGGATATTTCCGGAAATTGAAGCTGCTCGACCTAGATGCTCCTCAGGAATAAGGGCACTATGCTCACTGAACGGTGCAATTGACAAAACAAAGTTATTTCTTCAATACTGCAGCGAATCCAGCAAACTCTATCTGGTGTGCTTTTGTTTTTTGGCCAGTCTGGTGTGTTCTTGTTTAATCATATATTTGTGTGGTTATTGCTTTACTGATCATGAAGGGAAAGGTTTGTCTCCATTTTCATTTTTATTAAAACAATAATTACCAATTTATGTCCTTGCTGTTGCAAGGCCAGTTTATACAGCAAATATGATGTTATTTATTATTCCACAGAGTTCAACTTTTCACTATTGGCCTCTTTTATAGAGAAAGATTCTGTGAGCTTAAATAGAAAAGTTCCTTTTTCTTTATATTATCACTCATTTGATTGATCAAGTTATACCTTTCGGTTGATAGTTCTCTGCAATTATTTTCAGGCAATAAGGACAGATACATTAGTTTCAAGATGTCAAAAATTGAGGAACTTGCTGGAACAGTGTTTACGCCAAATTCAGAGTATGGTTCCAGTTATGCTGGCTGTTCAGGTTGGTCAAATTACTTGTCTTATTAATCTTCTATTGATCCCTTCTTTTTAACAAACAATTTCTTGTATTTTTGTTTTCTATTTTCCCAGAATGGCTGGCAGATGATGGACCAATTCCCGTGTGTTTTTAAATGGCTTGTCTTTTGTCTTTGGCAATTTTAGCAACACACCTACTGAACTCGTATTATGCGTGTTTATTCCCTGATATATGTGTTGAACTGTTCTTAGGACAGTGATTGATGATGATCTGATATTGCCAAAACATCAAATTTGGATAATTTGTAAAGTTGGACCTTTTCCAGATTCCTCTGCTTTCTATCCACTCGTTGATTTAATTTTTCCTTGTTAAAATGCTTTAAAAGTTCAAAAATTTTCAGAAAATTAACCATGATTTCTGCTTCTTTGATACATTTTGGGCCTTTTGTTCTTAATTGGAATTTGAGATAGTCAAAAAGGGGCATGATGTACTGTTCTTAGTTGGAATTTGAGATAGTTTTAGATCAACTTATTTTTCCCCATGATGTCCAGTTCTTTCTTCAAGCTGATAATGAAATCTTCTTCCAGATCTCTCAAATTGTTGATGATCTGCAAGCTGCAAAATTTGTCCCTGATAAATTTGAAGAAGAGGCCGGGAAGGTTGTAATAAAATTGCTCCATCAGGGAGCTGCGGCATCAGATTCAATGGAACATGCTGAAAAGAGAGCTCTTCAAACTGCAGCATCAAGACTTCACATTACTTCTTCAACAGCCATCTTGATAGAGAAAAGATCTATTAGCAAGTTGTTGGAACAAGTCAATGACACTGAGCAACAAAAGAAAAAGATCTTAAGATGTCTTTTGTCTCTTTTGAGGAACTATGCTAGCTTGATTATTAGAGAGCAAACAGATAACACAACTGATCAGAATGAAGGAGCATTTGCAGTTAACAACCCTGATACTAATTTTATGCATACTCCTGTTGACGCGGAATCTCATATGAAGTATAAGCTGTATGATGCTCAAGCTGATAAGTTAAGTGGAGCTATACTTCCGGAGGAACTTAAGTGCCCTATATCTTCAAGATTGATGTATGATCCTGTTGTCATTGCTTCTGGACAAACATATGAAAGAATCTGGATCCAAAAGTGGTTTGATGATGGTAATGATACGTGCCCAAAAACTGAAATGAAACTACACGATCTGTCATTGACCCCAAATGCTGCCTCGAAGGATCTGATATCAAAATGGTGTATGAAATATGGAATCACTATTCTGGACCCAAGCATGCAACCGGATGGCCTTCACTCATTGGAAAATTCTTCCACTTCCATAGCTAGTTTTGGCTGTTCTATAAATGATCTCCACTTTCCAGGGGACATCAGCAATATATCACTTGGATCTTTAGATACAAATTATACTTTGGATGGATCAAGTAACAAGATTGCAGATGGCTTAAGATTGATTCAGGAGCCGGCCAGTGATGATTTGTGCCGATATCAATCTCCCAGCAATGCAAGTAGGATGGATTTGGAGTCTCTATCTAGCCTTGCCGAGCTTGGTTGGGAATCAAAATGCAAGATGGTTGAAGATATGAAAAATCGTTTGAAATATGATGATCTAGCTTGTCTTACTATGTCACCCAAGAATTTCATTGAACCTTTGATGAATTTTTTGAGCAATGCTCATGATTTACATAATATAGGAGCGCTGAGGGCTGGATTTCAGTTGTTATTGACATTTCTGAGCAAAAACAGGTAATGGGTTCTTGCATTGTCCTGTAGTGGCTACTTTACCATGTTTTATAATGTGTGATGTCATTAGTTTGGGGATTATTCATATTGTTTTTCTATCTTCCAAACTGTGCTGGGAATTTCAATGTGCTTTTTTTTTTTTGGTATTTTCTCTAGTTTCCTTGTCAGTACTTTGTCCTGTTAGACTTAAAAAACTCCTGATTGATCTCATGCTCACACAGAGTTTGTGATGTCAATTGCAGAACCGGATGTGGTTTTGATAATTTAAAGCTTATTTGGTTGTGTCCATTATCCTTTACTTGACCTTATTTATGATCATGGATCTTTTGAAGAGGGGCTTGTTTGTGACATTTTCTTTACTTTGTGAGCTTATTGCAGGAGTGGGATAAAATACTTAAATGAAGATGCATATAGTCTGATTTCATTTTTTCTCGACTCAGAAGTAACTAAAGAGGTTCTTGACATTATGCAAGTTTTGTCTGGCCATAGCAGTTGTAGCTCTAAGATTGCTGCATCTGGTGCTCTTCTTTCCATTTTAAATATTCTTGACTCAAATATCATAGATTTCCAGGAACGAGTCATTAAAATTTTACAGAATCTGTCCTCAAGCACCGATGTTTGTTCCACTTTGGTGTCTTTGGAATGCATCCCAAAATTTGTTCCATTCTTACAAGACACCACTCTTGTAAGGCACTGTATAGTGGTGTTGAGAAATTTATGCAGTAACCAAGAGGCTAGGGTTTCTATTACTCAAACTTCTGGATGCATTAGTTCTATTGCTATGTTACTTGAAACTGGAAGTTATGAGGATCAAGAACATGCACTGGCTATTCTCCTTGCATTGTGCTCGCAACGTGTTGAATATTGTCACTTAGTGATGGCTGAGTGTTTTATATTCCCTTCCCTTTTTGATATATCTGCTAATGGGAGTGAAAAAGGAAAGGCAAGTGCATTGGAATTGCTACGGCTCCTTAGAGATACCAACTGTGATGATGATGAACAAGAATGCTTTCAGTCTGACAATATCACATTTGAAGCTAGTAACAACCATTCCAACAACAAGAAGTCTCATAAGTCATTGTTTGGAGTGAAATTGCCTATGTTCTCAAGATCCAGTGAACCAGAAAAGAAATGAAACTTGGATTTTCTGCTCTTTGTCGACATCAGCAAATATTCTGCCTGGTAAGATTCTTTCCCCTTGCCTGAGAGGGGTTTGCTTACTGGGATATGGCAATGGTATCATCATACTGTAACTAAATGTAGTTAGTTGGTGAATGATTTTGTCTATCTTGGCACTTGTCTCCATGATCTAGTCTCTTAGGTTTGATTATTTGTATGATGTATCTGCTGTCATTTTCTGGTTGCATAATTCTTAAGAATGTACAGTTTTTGGCTAGCGTTCAAGTTTGTTGTACCTTTTTCCCCATAATCTTAGGCAGTTTAGTATGTTATCAGACCTTATATAGAGCCAACACAAAACTAGTGATCTATTGGAAAAGAGACCAAAAGAAACTTTCTATTTACCTTCTTACTTTTTAATATGGAAGCTCAGATTTCAGTTTAGCCTTGTAACTTAATCATGACACTATAATTTCTACATGTTCTCTTAAGCTAAACTTTCAATCCATTTACATGGCATCCTGATTTCCTTAAGAAGCACAAACAGATTCTTTCTATTTGTCATACTGATTTTGATATGTTGTCAAACTGGTTGAAAGATCATAAATAGAACAGGCATATATAGGGAATACCATGGTAAACATCATTTTCATATAAATGCCAGAACAAAAAACATTCAAGGTGGAAGGTAAGTCTTGGATCTGCTGATAACCTGGTTTGTTTTCTGCAAATTCAGGAGAGACTCTTTTTACAAATCCTTTTCTTCTGGCTTTGCTCTTACAAGAAAACATTCTCTAACCTGAGAATTTCTTCAACTTATCTATGTTAAGTGGCTCAAGTATAGCTAAGAGGCACCCATTGAACTTTTCTATACAGGAGATGATAAGTTCATATCCAATGCTTTCCTCTCTTTTAAGCTTATTATAATTGATGGACCCTTTCCACTGAGCTAAGGCCAGTTGCAATCATAGATCTGAATTTTGCAGAAGTATTATTAAAAAGAATTTGATGGGCAAGTTTTTGATCAGTGGTAGGTTACTTCAATGAGATTAATCTGATCAGCATAAGTTAGTGAGGAGCCTTCATGGCCAATTCCTGTGGAGACATTCCACATTCCCACATGAAGTTGGTGAGGGTCCTCCCAACAGACCCCCTACCCTACCGTCACTTATACTCATTATTCAAGCTATTTACATCTAACAACAGCTGGGCCCTTGGATTTACAAGCTACATTTTTCTCCATCATTATTAATTGATTTTGTCCCTCATATTTTAACCCCATCATCGGTAAGCAACTGTTAACGCACCATGAAGTTCATGAAAATTGAAAATAACAGTCCATCAATGAAACCAGAACCCTAAACTAAATATAATAATCTCAAATATGGTTGAAATATAACTTCAATGGTAGTTCCATCTCTTTTTTTTTTTCTTGCCTAACTTAACTGCTACAAAAACAACAAGTATTAAACATGAAGAAGCTCGCTGTGATCTAGGTCTTGTGATGTGAGTTTCTTAGATTAAGAAAAAAGCTGGTTGGTGGCATTTGTTTTTATGATGCCCTAGTTTGGCAAACATTGTCACTCATATAATCCATTCAATATATCCATGCAAATATTCTTTGCCTGGAAAACAGAGGTCTTTTTGTTAACCAGCCCCCTACCTCTTATCCTCTATGAGCTTCAAGCTATATGTAACTCATACATACCTGTAAAAGTGCATATATTTAACAGGTTTGTCCCTGAATCTGTCACAGGATATTGCAATGTATCTTTGCAGCTGGTTGCTTTGTAGTTACAGAAAGATTTGCTTTTTTGCTGCCCTTTATCCAGATTCCATACCGTTTTTGATTATGCCAAACTTGAAATGGACAGTTTCTAGTGATATTGAGACTTGGCCTTATTTTTTAATCTGTTTGCTATTTTAAAACGGATTACTGTATTGTATTTAAATTTATATATATATTTTTTTGATATTATCAAAATTTGATATTTGATTATTAAAATTTCAGTATTCTATCAACAGATCATATTCATAAATTTACATTTTTTAGTATAATGTCTAAGAGCTTCTGCAATTGTTTATTCCAAGTTTGATCTAATATTAATATTTTTATATTTGTTTCAAAATTCTCTGATCTAATAGTCGGTCAAGATGACTTTGATTCTAATAATAAAAGGCATTCTGATAATTAATTTTTAACTAAAAAAAAGCTTGAGCCAAGAAGAATAAAAATCTATTCTTGAAATTTTATCAGATTAAAACTTAATGCCTAACATACTTTTTTAAAAAATGACAAAAGAAGTAAAGATTAGTAGTATTATTTGTGTTATTTTTTTCCTCTTTTTATTGGTTTATTACTTAAATAGAACGTTCATCAAACAACTTGATTTGATTGTTTGTTTAGAGCTGAAGACTTTTTGCCATTGAAAACTCACCAGATCCGAAGTTTTAACCTGCACGTGAAGCCTCGAAATATCACCATTCATTTGAATTACCTCCACCAAACCTTGAAAAGATTAACCTCAACCAGAATCCAAACCCCAACCCCGTTTCGCAGCCCCTCTGTTTTCTGTTATGAGTAGGCATTCTCCGTGGCGGTTATGTCACTGCGTCACATTGCCCACAAGCTGTCGCCGATGGCTTGCATTCTTTTGTGATACATTGTCTCTCTTCTATCCAAATCCTTTTCTTTATATAAATATATATATATATATATATATATATACTTGCAAATTCATCTTTATTAAGTCAGCTTTCTGATTCATTCTCTTCTTTCATCGTAGTAACAACTAGTTTCCCTGGAAAAAAAGGTCTGAAAAAGTTAAGAGAACAAAGCAAAATCCCATTTCTCCTCCTTAGAGATTGACCAGAGATGTTACATGGTTTGCACTTCCTGGAAAGCTGTACCTTTAACGGGATGGACATGACACTGCTTGAGAGACAACAAGCAAGGTTGAAATGGTTGCAGCAGCTAAATAATGTGGTCCAAAATAATAATCCTGTTGAGTTTTGTGGAACTTCAGTGCCTCAGTTTCAGGGTTTGCTTGGAGGCATTTTAGGTAATCGACAGTTAGTTGAGCTGGAAAAGCCAGAAATTTATCTGGTTAGTGATTTTTGAACTTTTCAGCAGCTGGACCAGAGTTTGGTGCCAGTAAGATGGATTTGGTGCCGCCAGAGGCTGCTGCAGGTTACTGTATTGTCGTACTTCTAGCTGTCAGATGACAGCTTTCCAGACTGCGGTTACGAAAGAGGAAGGAGATGATGTGATTTTGGAGAAAATGGAGTCCACCACTGGCAGAGAGAGCTTTAACAAGAGAAAAGCAGAGGTTTGTTACTGTGTCTTCACTCAATTTTTTTTTCACTTTTTGAGTTGTAGCTTCTTAGAAGAATGAATTATGAACTTTTGAATAAATTTAATCATTTTGACGCATTGGTTTTTCTTTGATTAAAGAAAGAAACCATGTATGAATTGTGATAAATTTGATTCAGTTGCCTCCAGCACAGAGGGGATAAGAGTAAAGTCTAGTGAATTACTAGATCAAAGCAGTTGTAGTAGTCATTTAAGGCATTTGACTTTTGTTGTACAGGCTGTTGCAGACCATAAGTGCAAAGATAAGAGGATTAAAGGAGAAGTGGAAGGGGAACCTGAGGTGAAAACGAAATACAGTGCAGAAGTTTCCAGAAATTCTTCGAAGGAGAACTCCAAGGCTTCAGAGGTTCAGAAGCCAGATTACATTCATGTAAGGGCACGTAGTGGCCAGGCTACTGACAGTCACAGCTTGGCAGAAAGAGTAAGTAGGAAAATATTTTGAATTCTGAGTTTCACTTGCTAAGGAAAATTACTGGTAATCTTAACTGATATGGCCTTAATATGTCTGTAAAGGCCAGAAGGGAAAGGATTAGTAAGAAGATGAAATGCTTGCAAGATTTGGTCCCCGGTTGCAATAAAATCACAGGCAAAGCTGGAATTCTTGATGAAATAATCAACCATGTTCAATCTCTCCAAAGACAAATTGAGGTAAGATAGACAGATCAATCTTATTAGCCTTTATTATTTTAGCACATCTTTCTGTTAACTTGTCAGGTTACTTGCAGTTCTTGTCTATGAAGCTTGCTGCTGTAAATCCAAGTGTAGGATTCAATGTTGACAACCTACCTGTGAAAGAGGTAAGAAAACAGCTTCCTGGATTGTCCTTTCTCACTGATCATTGGAGGAAATGGATAACAAGTGACTTCTTCTATGACTGACTTGTGCTTAAAATAATCATGCAATGAAGTTTCCTGCTTATGTCGCCAATTTTCTAGCAGCCGCTAAGTCACCAGCAATGGCCAATTTGGCCTCCCTTCTGTTGAATCCATTGCAAAAAGAAGCTGTAAATTGCATGCTAGATGCGACAATGCGCCCTCCGCTAACAGCAAATGAAGGAATTGCAAGTGCTTGTATGTCTAACCCAGAACAAGCTCTCAGCTCATTCTGCATCACTGTAATTATTCCTATCTGTTGTTTTAACTACTCTTATTCCCTGCTATGATTTTTGACCTTTTGTTATGTCTTACATGCCTCAAAATGATATTGCAGCAACTGCAACCATATTCAACTTGGAATACAGACCCTCAAGGTCTTTACATTGCGTACAATATGGGGTTTCATTAAGAATGATCAACTAATTTTTGTCTCCAACATCAACAGGTAGCTCTTGCAATCTCTCTTTCTGTTATTTTCCCCGTCCAATTCCTCTCTGTATATAAACTTTTCTAATGTGATTTGAAAATGATAATCCCCTTCTTCATTAGTCATTAGACTTGCAGGATATATTTGTTTTTTGTTTGTCCATTCTCCCACCTTGAAAAAACATCTGCCTCATTACCTGCTAAGTTTGTTGTTTACTTGTTTTCTGCAGATACTATTCCTGGAATAATATCAAACTTTAAGATGATTATCACCCTCTTACAGGATTTAGTTCAAAGATTCTGATAGTTACCATTGCTGAAATCCTAGCAGTATCAAGATGGAGATTTTGTTTACACTATTCACCATCTTACAGGATTATTACTATGATTCCAATGAACTGTTCTTCATGTATAGTCCAATATTCTAATAAATGCCATCCATATGATTAATCACAAGATTTTCCATATTTCCACTGTATAATGACTAGAGATATCTTTCTTGTGTGTGTGTGTGTGTGTTTGGCCAATATAATGAACATGGATATGTCTTTAGCCTGTGAAACTGACGAGAGAAGGTGGACAGGACTACACTGAGATTGCCATAAAAAAAAATAGAAAAAAACTGATAGGAATAGAAAATGTCATCGGCGGCATTCAGTTGGAAACTTCAAAATCATTGTGGATTTGTGGGGGCAAGAAAGATAGATGATAGATGTCAGAAATGGCCCAGCTGCCGCCCAATTTGTGCCTCATTGGATAAGCTTTGTCAGTTTGCAGAACAAAAAGCAAAGACGAGTTCAATCAGATACAACACCCGAAATTCTTGATCATCACGGAGGCCGTAAGCTGTTTTCTCCTATTGCTCCTGGTTGGTTCATCCATCTACCTTTCCAATATCAATTCACAGTTGAATAAAAATTGGTTTTGCAATTGCTCCTGGTTGGCTCACGTTTATTTACCACAAACATCATCAGAAGCAACTATTATATCTAAGAATTTGACTTTAATTATAAGTTGGACTAAAGTAATGTATTATGTTTTGTAATAAAAATTTAAGAATGTTTTGACCCTTAGCACAAAATTTTGGTTTTTTTTTTTTTTTGTTAACAAAAAGTTTTTTCTTATCAATTGAATCAAACTTTGTTGGTATCACAATGCAAAATTTGAACCTATAATTAGAAATTTTCAACTTGATTAAAATTAAACCACTTCATATAAAAAATGTAAGGGGGTTAACCATAAATTAAAAGGCAAAAGTCTTTAAACCTTCGATTTTGTAAATTTTCTTTCAAATTTTAAAATAAGAAAAAAAAATGGAGGTAGTAATAAAATTTAGTGAAATGTAGTAAACATTACTCCTTGTTCATGCCTTGAAAATTATTAAAACAAATGAAATTTCTTAAAAACGAAAATCAAATATATAATCCTGCTGATTGTATCTTTAAAATTAATGTTGATAATTTAAAATACGTTAAAATAAATAATATAAATAAAAAATATAAAAATAATATGAATTTAAAATTTTAATAATAATATTAATTAAAAATATTTTATATTTTTCATATAAATTATGGTACATAATATTTTTATAAAATATAATATAAGAATATTCGAAAAACCGAGAATATTCGAAAAACCTGTTAACCTAATATAAAGGGTCAAAATTAGGGTTTTCATTTTTAAAAAAAATGGCTACAGAATCTTTGGAGTTAGAAGAAGAAGGGAAGATTATAGGTGGAAATCAACATCTAATAGTTGACGATGACCTTAGAGAAATGGGCAAAAAAGCAGCTTGGAGTGTCAGCTCTTGTAAAACTGGCAATGGCGTCTCTTCTCTCCGTGACGACAATCTTGAAAACTATTGGCAGTTAAACACAGTAATCTCTTTCAAATTTTGACTCCATTTTTTCTCTCAGTTCTCACTTCTTTTAAATTATTTTGAGTGGCTTTCAGATCAGATGGAGCACAGCCTCATTTAGTTAACATTCAGTTCCAGAAGAAGGTTAAGTTGCAAGTATGTGGAAATTTTGCTTTGGGTTGATTTTTTTCTTTTCACAAAATTTTTATTTTTATTGAATTTTGATGATGGGTTTATGACAATTTGTGGGCTTTGTTTCTGGGTTTTTGAAGTTAGTTGTACTTTATATGGATTTCAAGCTTGATGAGAGCTACACACCAAGTAAGATCTCTATTCGAGCTGGTGATGGCTTCCATAACTTGAAGGTATAATCTGTAATCTTCAGTTTTACATTTAGAATTGTGGACTCTTACCAGGTTGGTTAATTTGTATGTGAATGTTTTCTATAGGAGATTAAAACTGTGGAACTTGTCAAGCCGACTGGTTGGATTTATCTTTCATTATCTGGAAATGATCCTCGGTGAGTTGCAATTGGCAACATTGTTGCAGTTCAACTGTTTATGCTATTAATTTTTGAAGTATTTGGTTTGATCATGTTTCTTTTGTTGGCTATTGGTGCAATGTTGTTAATCATGATCACTGACTGTTTGTTCTTTATTAGCAGATCAAAAGACTAGTTTATTTCTTCACAAAAAAGCTTGAAACTTCTTAGCTACATATTGGTTTAGGTCCCTGGTAATTATTCCAATTATTTCCTTTTTAGGTTGATTGATAATAAAACGCAACCTCAAAAATGATCATCAATTAATTCCTATTCTAAGTACTGACTAGCATTTGTGTTTGGTTTATGTTGAGTGCCATTGAAGACATAGTATGGATCGAAACAAACAGAGACATATCAGAATTTCATATGCTTGCTTCTTAAGTTTCAGTGACAATGTTAATAGTTAGTACTATATTGCTATACACTGTTAGTTAATATCAACAGTTTGTAACTAGATCAGAAAAGTGCATATACTAGCTAATTATTGAGGAAAATTATATTCGGCATAGGGAGATTTATCTCGGCACTGATTAATCAAAATGTCTTGCAGTGAAACTTTTGTCAATACCTTTATGCTGCAAATTGCGGTTTTGTCAAATCACCTTAATGGGAGGGACACTCATGTGCGCCAGATCAAAGTTTATGGACCTCGACCGTGTGTACAATAGATCCTTACATCTTTCTGTTCATCAGTTTTTTAATCACAAATTTTCTAATTTAAACCTTTCTGTTGTTTAAATGCTCTCTTGCAGGAATCCTATTCCACACCAACCATTCCAATTTACCTCTAGGGAATTCATTACATACTCCACTGTGAGATAATAAGTGTGACCTGAGTTGGGGCAGTAAAGGACATGGAATTGGAAATGCGGAATCTAGTCTCAGATTGAAGAGAACTAAGCATGTTGCTGAAAGCAACCATATAGTATTTCTTTAGCGCTAAGGGGAGTTTCTCAGAGGAATGTAAATCTATAACATGATGACGGTTTTATAGAGGTGATATTGTCGGGTTTTCACTCCTTTGTGATTGTGCTGATCAGATGGTTTAAAACTTGCTTGGATAGTCTCCCTTTTTAGGTTCTTTCCCCATCTTTTTTTCGAATGTCTGGACATTTTGACATTCTATTATTTGAGTAAAGGCAATAGATATTTGGATTTGTCACTCTGCAACCAATTATTGTTGTCCTTGTTCCTGTATCATACCTTGTATGTCAACAGTTAAAGTTCACATTTCCAAGGGAAAAGAAATGAACTTGCCACGGTTTGGCTTGGTCTGCTCAGGTTACCTTGAAATCTTATTATCATTTGAAATATTGGAGATGTGATATAGATTCCAAGGTGTGAATGCCTGTTCCCGAATTTACTGGAAACACCAGGATAAAGGCCGCTGTATCAATTCTAAAGAATGAGACATCAAGGACATTCAGAAACATTCCAAGACCTGAGATTCAAATCATGCGGTATCTAGGTTTCAAATATGATACATTTACCAATTTCAGCATTTGCATGTGTTATGGTAACTCGTTTTCTAGAAGCTGCTCTTGGTATTGCTTTAGTGGGGCAGCTGATTCTATATATATCACCACGTGAATATTCAGGTCATACATCTGCTATTGTTACTACGGATCTTACAAGTTGGTGAAGGCCTTGATTCCTTTCCCCTTCGGGTGTGGCTTTGGCTGGGACGATACTTTTAATTTAAGGGAAATAATTGCAACTACCATTACTTGATCGAGGAAAAGCAAGCATCACGAGTAATGAGAGCTGAACTTTGACCAAGACATGCTAAAGCAACAAGTAAGTACGAGCGGAGTATGTGTCAAGTAAAGAAGTGCCTAAGTATTACATCAAGCATGCATGCTTAATGAAAAATAATATTAGATATAGGTAAATCGCGGTTAATTTCGTTTTGATTCTAAGGTATGATCAAACAACATACGAGTCAGATTGCATGATCAGAAAAGCCTTGCACCTAACAGCTAAGAATTAGCCAGCAATAGCCGAGCTAGAAAAACTTCCATTAGAACATAATACAGGAAGCATTCCAGAGGAGAAAGATGTGTATCTCTTATAAACATGCTATCATTCACAGGCCAATTTGGGATAAAGCTGCTCTGGTAAATTTCGGAAGCTTGGAAACATGGAAGGGTAATAATAATCCATGGCAACACCAATGATGTGCATCTTCGATCAGTGGTGATCATTCACAAGCTGGTTTGGTGTCAAAGCTGCTTAGGCAGATTGCAAAGGCTTGGAAAGCAGATAGAGGGTATCGATAATCCATGGTGAAGATGTCTTTGCCAATTTTTCCAAACTGTAAGATTAACTTCTCTTGCTCTTCATATGATACATTATGTGACGGCTCAACAGCTGCAACAAGCTGGAAATTCTTAACAGAGGCCACTGTCACACGCCCCTTGAAGTTAAGGCACCAGCACTGTAACTGTTCATGCCATCTAGGAGCCTTGTTTTTAAGGGTTAATGGATCTCCTGAGCCCAGGGAGAATACTGGTGTGGCGGGGAGGCTCGGGGAGCTGGTGTCTAGCACTGGTTCCTTTCCTTTTGAACCGGGTAAGGGAGAAAGTTGTTCATCAAAGGATTTTGGGAATGCTGATGTTGTTGGGGTAATGCCTCCTTCCTGAACAGCAGAGACAGGAATTGAGTGCAAAATGCAATGCATTCTCCTTGGTCCTCGTGTTCGCAGAACATTGAGCTCATAGGTAATGGTACCTATGCTGTAGTTACAAGCAGGTAATCTTGGAGACACCCGCTTAGAGTGAAATCTACGATTTGATCGGGTATATGATGGGATTATTGAGTCACACGGAGGTTGGCTGTCATATATGGTGAACTTGGTACCTAAAAAATTAGACCTGAAAAGAATTTTAATATGTCATCGTAAACATCAAGACAGAATAATCAGCCAAAAATAAGAAATCTAACGGCGAACTTGCCTTAGTTTACCAACATACGTATTGCTGGCCCTAGAAAAATCATCTGCAACCAAAGATACAATAAAGTCTGTGCATGTTGCCTTTCTGAGTTTTCTTGCTGCCAACAGCAATTTATCATTCTCTCCCTCAGCTGTAAATCAAAAAAGCAACACAAGTGAATACCTCTTGAAAAGTGACGAAGCATCATAAAAGTGATACCTCCAATGAGGTTTTTAAGTTTTGAATATGTTATTTGGCTAAAAGAATGTAAAAAAGCAACATAACTACAAAGCCGAGTAACCCTCGGAGCAAAATTTTTTTCCAGATAAGAATGGCAAGTATAAATGCACATCAGTCATGAATAATAGTAACTACGGACATCAGAACAAGATGACTTACAAGGCACTAGACCATAGAACAAAAGATATGTAGAAGTTGCTCTGTCCCTTCTAACATAGCATTGAATTGGGGACTCACGAGGACCCGGCTGTTAATAAACACAAAGAGAATATATAAACAATCTTTTAGAAGGAAGAATAAGAAAATAGCCACTCCCCTTACTTAAGGACACAGGCATGAGATTTATTGTTGAATGTGTAGCATACACACGGGTTAGGAAAATTTAGACTTAGCTTTATATGCATGCATTCCAAAGTTCTTAATATGAAAATTATACATTCATCTATCAGCCAGTGTTCATCTCAACATAGAAAAACTACACCTTAGAAATATTGATTTCAAGACAAATACGTTCTTGACAAAAGTGCATGCAACCAATATATCTGCGCAAAGTTGTTGAGTTTTTTCCTCCCCTTGACGTAAATTTAGCTAAAATCTAAATATCCAATAGTTCATTCTCAAGGGATCAAAATGACATATTTTCCAATAAGGAAAGAGCATAACCTGCTTCAATGAGATGGGAAATGTGAGCATTCCACATTGCTCAGGAGTCTTCACAATCTCCTTTGTAATTTCCCTCCAAGACCTACAAACTGCAGCACAAAAAACAACAACAGCTCGAGCAGGCCAAGCTGTCTCACTCCCTTCAACCCTCTGGATGATATCTAAGAGCAATTCAGTCGGTAGATTCGCCCACGGGCTCTGTTCTGCCAATTCAGATTCGCGTGGTGCCTGATCAGGAGCAACATGGGTTCTAGTCCGGCTACGCCAAGGCTTGCTTTCCCCTTCTCTCTTTGATATGTTCCCAATCCCATCCTTAATCTCCTTGAACATACTCTTTAATGGCATCTTTTATAAGCATACTACATCCAATCTCTCAATATTCAACTGCAAATATATAACAAAAACACCAAAATGGAAAATTCAACTTTCTCCACTATTAAAATCTCAGCTCCATTACAAGCAAAGTTTCATCAAACCAAACTCCATAAATAAAAATATTGAAACTTTACTCAATTAACACCCAGAAAACAAAAAACAAACAAAACCCAAGATCAACAATCAATAAATGATGTAAAAAATGTAGAAAAATGAATCTCTTTTTATCTGAATCATCAACCAAAAAAAAGTTTAAAACTTGAGATTCTGAGAAGAAAAAAAATTATGTAACCAGTTCTAAACTAACCGGTTCAAATCAACCCAGAACTGAACCAGCTCAGATGCATCCCAACGTTCTTAGGGACCAAAGTTCAACCAACACCACGAACAAACAATAAAGATCAGATCAGAATGAAAGAAAGAAATACTTAAAAATGTTTTCTGTAAACAAAAAAAAAGGTGCCAACTTTTCTTTTTATTAGTGGGAATCCTAAGATGGCCACGTCATTGCCAACGCCGGTGCCACCACCACCACCATCAGCGCCGACGTTCTATACTTCCCGCCACCACCACCGCCATCACCGCCAGTTTTCTCTCCAAATCAGTAAGTCATAGCTCTCTCTTGCTCGTAGGACAAAAGCTCTTTCACTCGAAACAGATCCAAAGTCTATCTCTTTGTTTGGTGTTTTTGGTAATATAAATAATAATAATTAAAAAAAATACTCTTTTGTCGTTTATTTTTTAATTAGGGTCCGTTACAAAGTAATCTTTTGATTAATTATTTTAATGGAGGATATTTCACAATCTTTTCACTCGGACTGACGATCATTTAGTCAAAAAAGCAAGTTGATGAAGACACGTGGCAATTAATCATGTATTTATGGAGATACGTATTTTTCTACCCACCCATTAGTATTTGATGGGAGACCTTAAAAAAAAAAAATCAATTTCCTACTAATAATTTTATAAAATAAAAAATAGGATGAGTATATATCGATTCTAATCAATTTCATCGACTGAAATTGCGGTTATATTCGTCTAATTTCGATAATGTTCAATTAAAAAAAAGTCTTATGAAATTTTTAATTTTTTTTTTAAGCATCCAATTCAATTATTACAGTCGAAAAATATTGTACAAAACGATTTAATCAGGTTAATATAATAAAAAATTATTATTTAAAATTTAGTTTGAATTTATTTAAATTTTAAATTTAAATTTAACTTAAAATAAAAGTTAAGATATTTAAATTCGCTTAATTAAATTTATTTATTAAATAAAAAAAATTTGATTTCATTCTCGACTTCAAAACTCTATTATTTATGTTAAAATTCAAATTTGAACTCGAATTTATATATATATAATAAAATAATAATTTTTTAATTAAAATAATAAAAATATTTATTAAAATAAAAAAATTCGATTAAACTGTTAAATTACTAGGAGTCAAATATTAAAAAATTTGAATTTTGTTTATTCAATAAATTAAGTTATTCGAAATTCGAGTTCAATTTAATAATAATTAATTTAAATTTAAATTTTATTTAAATCAAATTTAAATAATTTATAAGTATTAATATATAATTTAAACATCTAATTATATATATATTTTATATAAATAAATATTAAATTTATCTGATTCAAACTCAAATTTTAAAAATTCAAGCTCCTCTTCGAGTTGATAAAAGATATAGTACCTGTTTTTTATTAACAGTTGAATTACCCAAATTTGTCTTAAAATTTAAGAAAATTTAAGTATTAGTTAAGGTGATAAAATCCTAGGAAAAAAACAGGCAAAGGTAATAATTAAGCCACTGCAATTTTTTAAAAAGGGCTGAGGAAATAGTTTCTATAATGTAAAATTCAAAATTTCAATTTTGAATGCATGCGACAAGATTAAAAACAAAAGTTCAAATTGGCATCTATAGATACAAACAATTAAAGAAAATCCGAAAGTCCCAAAAATTTCTCCGATTTGTCTTCCATTATTCCTCAAATAATCGAAAATGTGTGGTTGGTTTATTGAACCAAATCCAAGCCCCATGGACAGGAGACAATGGCCGGCGTGGCCTAGCCAGTAGCCATCACCCCCAGTGAAAAACCGCGGCAGCCTGAGCCAGCCTTGGCCCTTGCGTGAGGGTGTATCTGGTTTTACCATCGTTAAGAATGATAATGATTGACAATGAATCAAATTTGATTTGATTTTTTAAAATAATATATAATATTATAAATTTTAAAATTTAATCTAAATTTAAGTTGATTTTTTTAAAATTAATATGATTTAAATTAAATTTTAGAGATTCAATTCATTGATTTTTAAATTTAAATTTTTTAATTTTAAAAATATATAAAATTTAATAAAAATATATAATTTAATTCAATTTTTAATTTTTTATATTTTAATTTAAAATTAATTTAATTTAAATCAATTCAACTTAATGAATATTATAATTTTGAATCGAACTTAAAAATTTTTTTTTCTCACCTCTGCCTATCCAAATTAGAGTCAACTGAAATTATATGATCTACGGCATACGTGGACACTGGGGGCCCACGAAAGAACCTAGCTCTGTAGTTTTAGTAGGGTCGAAGGTTTGATTCATGGGAAGAAGACTACAATCAGTGCTGGAGTGCCAAGTCAGATAAGAGCCCAGCTGGTCCACAAAATGCACTGGCTGGAGCCCATTCCCAATGGTTAGTAGGCTTAATTGTTTCTCCCTGCATGATTTCTTAATTTTTGGTGGACCAAATTTGCTTAACCTAACAACTTTATCCGTTCACAAGTTTCTAGCCAAAGCAGAGTCAGCTTTTTCAACTTCAATTACTCTTTTTTTTTCCTACAAATAAACGGTGGCAACGTCTTGGCTGTAGGTTCAAGGAATGTAAGGGCGGAAACAGTAGTTAACCCACGAGGCCTGTCATTAAAGTGGAGACAAGGAAGAGATAACGACTGCATCAGTTACATGCACGTTTAATGGCAAAGAAAAATAATCATTTTCCGTGCCTCGCTTAGATGCCCAAGTTGTTTTGTTGATTGTGAATCTCATGTCTCTCCTTTCATGCTTATGGATTCTCTCAAATAAGTGTATTTTGTAAGATTAAGAATTAGTTCTATGAAGGGGACTGCTCATTGCTCAAGCTTGAATCTCCTCATTTTGTGTGAAAATTAATTTGGGTTGGCCTTTTTCGATAAGGTTAGGCACCCATTCCCTGGATGCTAACTCTTCCCCTACTGTCGCTGCCACCTCGGAATTGACATGCCATATGGCCATGAGCAAATCTTTCCACTGGAAGAGGTATTTTTGGAACTTGTAATAATATAATATAGTAGTAATGTTGAAGTTCAAAATTGAGAGGAACAAGCAATTTTCATCAACAAATCAACATAATATACGAGTATTTTCGTCTTCTTTTGCAGAATTTTATAAATTTTCATAAAAAAATCCCAAATATAAGTTTAAATCCTGTATACAATTACACTGCTGTCTTTGTTGCTTAATCTTGACAAAGCTGTAGGAAAACAAACTTGTTTTGCAAAAAGCGACAAAACCCATGTCTGAAATCTGTCATTTTAAAGTTATGGCTATTGATTAAGGAGGGAACTAAACATCTTTCATTTAAGTTTTGTCTGAAAGTTCTTTGACTGTTTATGTCAATCTTTGTTCTCAATTTCTCATTAATCCTCTTGAGCTATATATACTTTTAGTGCCCTCAGGTCTGCAATTTTTCTTCCTTATCCTTTTGGTCTGGTCGGTTGCTATTCATTTTTGAAAAAAAGGAGAACAAAGGTTATAATTTATTTGATTGAAAGATCAAAGATAAATTTAATTTTCCTCACTTTTTTTATATCGTCAAAGTTGAATCACATCAAATTGTGTAATCATGCATGTGATTTTGTCACAGGGTGGGTTGGGGAAATTGGGATAATCTGGAATCATGTAGCTTAAACTGAAATCCTTGGAGGGTTAGTCAAATGACAACGGCCTTACCTGAGCAGCTGACCTAAAATACTACGGGGTGATCGATGATTCTGTATGTTCTTCATGTAGGACAAGAAAAATATAGCTTGTCTATTAGGAAATGCATTGATCAGAAAGATTCTCCTTTAGATTATGAGATTGAGTGGGTATTTATATTTGAGATTTTGGTGTGGCAGCAATGAGCATGGGCAAGGTTGTCAAGTCCATATACTCAGGCCATTTGTTACTAATTCATTGCCAGTACTACTCACTGGTGCTCAATATCATAAATCTTATACTCCATTCTTTAGTCTTTGCTATCTTCTTGCCATAGGAGTTTGTGATTTCTGTTCACTCCCCTGCTTCACATGATATGAAAGTTTTAAACCATTTAGATTTGGATATTTCTGTGGGAAAAGGAAAAGAAAGAGAAAGGGAGAAGAGAGAAAGCACATGACGTTCGGTCGCCATGGACAACTTGTCTTCACATGCAATGCAATGCTTCCATTAATTCTTTAGCAGCTAGGCTACTTCTCACCTTTTGGCTATATGCCGAAGGGACCTCTGGGCTACCCATTTGCACCTTTGGCAAGTAAGCCTTGTGATTTAGTGCAACTCAGTTGAGGATGCTGAGGACTATAATGCAGGAAAGAAAATTTTGCTAGTAATGGCAGCTCCCTCATGATTATCCATCCGAGAACAGAGGTTCTACTTATGGACTCAGGAAATTCAAGTACTATTGCATGCTTGTCTCATTTCTTTACTTTAAGATTGATATTCCTCCATCTTTATTTATCTGTTTTGAAAATGGTTTGGTCATAAACAATACAAAGTTTCTCTGCAAAGCATCTTAACAAGGATATGTGTCCATAAAGAAGCAAACTGGCCTTTCAAAGAAATGCTACAAAATTCTTATAAGTAAGCCTTTCTGAATTAACTTTCTAATGGATAACCCAAGGTAAAAAGCTAGATTCTGATTTTGCCGAAGGACTCACCTGGGGCTTTGGGAAGCATCACGATATATATTCTTCTTTCTCTCTAATACCCAAAGTAAATTATAGCTGTAACTAGGATTTTACAGTTCAGGTGCATGCCATTGGCCCAATGGCCATCCTAGAACAGCAGGCCAAAACCAGTGAAAATCCTTTTAGCTTAAAAGACCAAAGACTGATTACTTCAAAGGCTAGCAGCATTAGGGTAATGGTTCAACTTCCACAAGCCATTCAGTGACAAGTCCAAGACAGGCTTCCTTGACGACCAAATTTACGATGCCCTAAATCGAGGCACTTGCTCTTTAATGTTATAAATTTTTTTGTATATTATAGTCTTATACTACAAAAACTGTAATTAGAAAGGCAGAAGCCTGGTTCAAAGTAAATTGGAACATGAATTACAAATGACGTATTCTGAAATTATAGCACAGAAAAGTTTATTCACAATGTTGAAACCACCAAATAAACCAATTCTGGTCCCTCGTTAGGTACGTATTATTACAGGAGAGTGATGAATTTAGAAAAGCCAAAGCCAGAAGGAAAACAGACACAGCCAGCAATGGATAACAAATAGGAGCATTCTCCAAATTTGATACCATCTCAACCAAGCAAGTCCAATGTCCATAGACGTTAATGTCAGACGACAGAATCAAAATGTTGTATCAGTCACTTTATGAAATGAGAAAAAGAGTTAAAAAGAGTTTGATCAGAAGACAATCAGATGCACAGATTTACAGATCTAGAACCACTTAACAGCAACAAGCTACTTTAAAGAGCCCAAAATGTTGCCTGAACTTGTGCTTCTCAAGAAGATAGCATCGAAATGATGCAAACTAGAAGTACAATCAGAGCAACAGCCCAAACCCAATAAAGCCATGCCTTCTTCTTCTTCTTCATTTGATTTGCATAGTAAAGGCTGTTGGTTCCACCATTGATATAATTCCCTGCATTGGCCACATTTTCTTCAATATCATCCATTTTTTCCCCTTGTGCCTCAACAAGAACAGCCATGTCAAGAAACACCTGATGCAGCCTTTGCAAACTTCGCTGAATATCCATCACGGCCTTATGCCTTTCCTTGCTCCTCAAATCCATTTCCACTTTCTCTGCAAATAACTGAACGTTTTCAACGCCTGAAATCGCCTTTTCAAGCACGTCTTCACTCGGTAACTCTCCAGTGGCATTATAATATCTTCTCTTGAGATCTTCTTTATGATCTAATAAAATCTTTTCCCTCAAGGCCTGAAATTCATTCATCATTTCCCTAAGCTTAACCCTCAAACCATTGGTTATTGATATCCTGGTTCGATCAACACATGTCCCTTGTTTATACGCTTCTGATAATCTCCTATTGGTTGCATTGTATCTGTCGAGTGATTCAAGCCTTGCCTTGACAATCCTTGCTTTTCTTAGAATGGAAACCGTGTCTGATTCCATCCTATCTCTTAACCCCCGAAGAACTTTGGCGCTGTGAGTGGACTTAATATCTTCATTAAGGGTTTGAAGATCAAACACGAGATTGGTAATCTCTTCCATTGTGATCTTGATTGATGCCACTTCTTGGAAGAACTGAGAGAGGTTCTTTTCATCTGTGGGGTTGAGTTGGCCCTGGCCTTTTTCCATATCAAGATCAGCCTCTAGGTCTTTTTCTGTCTGTTTCTTCAGTTCCACATAACTTAAGAACGACTTTGTCATTAGATCATTCATCTTTGCAAGATTTTTGCCAAAACAAAAAAACAAAAAAAAAATTTCCTCCTGCAAAACAATCAAGAATAGAAAATGAAAACTTATTAAGGGAAAAAAAATGCATCAGAAATGAAAACTAACTGGCAGTAAAAGAAGAGACAAATTCAAGAAAACGATTGCAAGAATGTAATAGTCGTGAAAGTAAAGAAGCAAACCTAAAAGCGGGATTCCAAGGAAACCAAGGAGAAATCTTAGGCCTGCTCTGTTGAGTGTCAAAGCCTTCCTAAAATGCCAATAACCCTTCTCTGTCTCCCTTTTCTTTGTTTAATGGGCGAGTTTTAAAGTGAATCAGGGAACGCGATTGTGCAGTTATGGAATTTAAATTTTCGTTTAACAGAGGACAGCCGTTAGATTTTAGATGAGGCAATCAAAGTCCGCCAAAATAGGTTGCGCATTAAACGCAACCGTTTAGTATCATTCATTCACCAGTTTTTTTTTTTTTTCTAAACTTTGTTTTCATTGGTCTTTGAGTGCCTATGCTCATAGGGAATGGCAAATTAGCTACACATGACTTGTTAATACTAATGGTTCAATCTTTTAGTGCTATGTTGATATGACTCTTTATCTTCCTTGAAATATCCATGTTGAATACACATTCAATGGGCATAGTTATGGAGGTTTGTCCCTTTAGTCTGCTGTGTTCAAGATATTGATACTTTAGAGAAGAAGTTGCATGCTTTGTTGTATTTCAATTTCAGGTATCCCTGTACATTTGTTCTGTTGGAGTTTCAGAAAAGGGAACTATACAAATCTGACAAGCTTTCTTCAAGCCATTGATACCATATCAGCTTGTTATCAAGTTTGTGGCAGACAGTTGGTTTTTGGCCTTCTCAGCCTCAAGCTTCCTTAATGTTTGTTGAACTCAACTTGCCTCCACTAGATTCTTCAGAAACTAGATCTACAACTTCAATCTGCAGAATATGCACAAATTTCAAGAAATTCTAATGAAAAATTGTTCACCTCAACTTCAAAGTTACATACAAATCCTAGCTACAGAACAGAACTCAACCAGGGAAAAGAACACAAAAACAAACCTTTAACTGTGAAAGGCCTCTGTCAACTCTTTTATTATTAACTGATACTCCACCAGGTAATGTCTCCTTGCTGTCAAGAACCAGTTCAGTTAGGCAAGAATGATTCCACTAGCATTATCAAGGATTGTAAAACAGTACTTCATCTCTTGCCGTTGCAACTTTTATAAACACAGCCAAATTATTGATTTAATTCATTGACAATATAAAGGAGACAAAACCAACAGAGAAATGATAAAAAGTTAAAACTGTAAGGATTCAGTGCAGCAATTGGATAAAGAAGGCCATCCAAAACTTTTTGCAATTCAAACTTCAAAACACAAGAATCAAAAGCAGAACAAGACTTCATGTGAGCTAAATTACCAGACAAGAGACAACCCTGAACCCTCATTTTCCTTATCTAAGATGATTAGTGATATGTTAGACAATGACAAACCTGACAACAATGGCCTCCAAATTTGCATCAATGATCGAAGGTCCATAGGGATCTGTAATAGGTTCAACCTGCACCACCAGCTTTGGCTTCATAGACTGCACAGATTGCAGATATAAACAAAATTATAACTAAATCATCAAATGACCAAAACCCATTTTTTTCCTGACAAAAAGTAGTAGTCCTTCATAGTTTCATTTCATACCTTGATGTAATTCTCAACATTAATCATCCTTTCCTCAATGGGTTGTATCAATTCAACAAACTACAGAGAAAAAAAGGATTATATACTACAACTAATAAAAGTCTTTGCTGTTTTTCTACATAAAGCAAGCAATCAAGTTTTGGATTTCGATTAGTTCATGCAATTGTGGGAGTACAGTCAAGACTAAATGGCCAACAACTTCATGTAAAATTAGTAATTTTACCTGTTTTTTGGCTAACATGGGAACATCACAAACACCCACCACAATTCGATCCCTGGCCAGCTTCACTGCAGACTATTTCCAAAACATTTTTTCTTCATTTATATTTTAACAAAGAAAAATAAATAAAACTAGAGATGTCAATGAAAATTTTGTTTTTTTATTTAAATAAAGACGAGAATGAATATTACATTTTGCATATGAAAACGAGAAAGGTTATGATTTTAAAATTTATTGAGTAAAAAGAAATAAAATTTTATTAAATAATATAAATTATTATTTTAAATTAATTAAAAGTAATATATTTTTATTAAAAAATATATTAATATATATTTATAAAAAATTATTTAAATATATAAAATATAAATTAAAAAATATATTTATTTTTATTTTTTTAAAAAATTATAGATATAAAAATTATTTATATCTATTAAATATTACCGAAAATAAATATAATAAAAATAAAAATAAATTTAAAATATTCATTAAAAATAAATATAATATAAAATTTTAAAGATAAAATGATCTTATCTATACTTTACCTACTGATATCCCTAAGTAAAAGAAAAACAGAAAAGAGAGATATTAGTTACTTTGAGGAAGAGGCGGTGGCCGTCGTGCAAGCGGTCAAAGGTGCCACCGAGAACGATGGAGCCATATGAATTTGGTGGCGATAGTTTTTGATTCACCAAAGTTGATTGATTACCCTTCTGCTCCTCCATCATCGTCATCTATATCAGACAACTGAAACACAGCGAACAAGGAAAAAAAGAGACAGGTTTCATTTCTTCTGCTTTTCTGACCTTTCCAGTTTCAATGTAAGGTCAAATGTGGAAAAAAATATATAAAAAAAATTCAGAATCTGACTTGGTATTTGGTACACTGAAACTGGACAACTTCTATCTTTTTCTTGGGTTTATAACACTTAATGAGGTTTTCAGTTGTCAGGTACCTATCTATGTAATTGTCGTCGGTGTTGATTCGATTATCTGGGACGACAATTTCGATGACCTTTTGTTTGGAAATGCTCAAACCAGACACGTGTTTTGAAAAACCCCAAAAAAAAATTTTCTAATGAACAGTAATGCTTGAACAAGTAAACAAAATAAACAGGAGCAGCCGCTGCAAATAAATGCTTAAAATACAATAATGGAATTCAAATGTCTATCTTGTGCTAGAGACGAGATTGACAACAATGGAATTCTTGCCCCCTAAGTAGAGTAAGGTTGCTTTCAATCTAAAAGTTGGTCACCCACTTTGCATCTAAACATTGCTATAATCAGGTCTAATTAGCTAATAAAAGCCTTATTAATTTTAATATCAACAAATTCGAGCTTGATTTGATTCATGAAATCATTTTTAGAAAAATGCTTTGCCTAACAATATCCTGTTAGCATGAATTTAGTTTATAACCAAAAGAAACATGCCTGCTAAATAACCCCAGAAACCCAAATGACAAGCCAGCCTAACTCAAACCAATTTCAGCAAACACAAAACCACAAAATTTCACATCCACAACCAGCACATTAAAAGCTTGATACCATAATCTTCATAGTGCAGGGTTACAACAGCAGTGAAATTCATAGCACCAACTTCTAAGAACCAGATACATTCAAAATAAGAAATGTTTTGCGACTTTAGCATGACTGCATTTCTTATTACGATTTATAAGCATGCAGCCATGATCTCTTAGCATCAACTTGATAAGTGAAGTTCAATATTCTGTCCAGCCTCCGAATGTTATTATTACTAAAGGAATGCACTAATACAAATGGATTAAAGTACTTGGAGGGTTCATGTTTGTTTGAAGTTAGCAAAGCATTCTTTCAAAAAATTATGAAGCTCTGATGAATATATGTTGGGATAATTCCGATAGTGGTCCACATGGTGAGATGTGCCAAAGTTGAAGGAGAACACTTTTATTCCCTTCTTGCTCATCTCCTCAACACACCTCTCAACTGATTTATATGGAATGACCTGATCAGCTGTGCTATAAAGATACAGCTGAGGCCAGGGAGGAGGGTTCTCCAAGGCAGCCTTAATGATTGTTCTTAAATGTCTGCAGGAGGAGGAAAAAGTAATAGCTAGCATCAATCAGTTACATACCACAACCACAATATTTGATCATACTCAGAGAGAGCAAATAGCATGGCATTTAGGAATTAAAGCATATACATATGGGAACGAATATTAGGCATAAAGAGAAAGCCTACCTGTTCACATCAGGCATATTTAGAAGGAATGTGAAAAACTTTTCGAGGGTAGATAGCAGCAAAGCTTCTGCCATCTCAGGTTCCTCTTTGTGCAATTTTGAATCGGTCACTTCAATTTCTAATCCATTTGTTGAAGAGTTGCATTTCTTCAGTATAGCAGCAGCAAAACCAGCTGCCCAGACCTGTAAAGGTATGTGACTAATCACAAATTTTCCCAATCGATTTGATTGGAAAAGCCGGGATTTTCAAAATGAGGATAATTACTTCATCAAAATGAAATTACAAAGTCCAAAGCCAGAAATATGGACCTACACTTTTATACAGCAGCAAGTGAGGTCAAAGAAATTTAACTAGGTTTTTTATTTTAATGCTGGAGACAAATACAATATATATAATTTCCCAGATTTTTGAAGGGGAAAAAAAGAAGAAGAAAATGATAGTACTGCTTAAATACTGTGAGTATCCTAGGATAGGATGAGCCCTTTTCTCCTTGCTGGAGAGTATAAGAGCATGAGAATGAAAACAGATAAAAAATGCGAGTGAAGCTCCCAGTCAACGACCTTGAGCCTTTAACCTTTTAAAAACCTCGTAAAATTTACAAGAGTCTTGTGAAAATCAAAATGCTATAATAGAGCTCTGAACAAGTTGGAATTAATAAGCAAAGATATCAAGTAGTAAAAAGCCTATTATTTGAACATCCAGATGACAGACAATTTTGCATCTGCTTCACAAATCACTACATATATTTTTCAGAATGAATATGATAATTTCCCACTAATACACATTCTAATGTCTTTTCTACAGCTAATACGTGAATCTAAGGTTTCAGCATAGAGTAAAAGAAGCATAACACCGTATGTAACTTTGACCATAATATAGAGCAATGCCACCAAGTGACAGAAATTTCCAACTGTTTTGTCCAGAACCAGGACTCAGCCTCATTCTTTTGTTCAAAGGCCAGATTAGTCACAATTCTCTTTGCCTACCTGGAAAGAAAGATGATGACCTACACCAACCAGCCTTTTCCAATTCTATCAGTTCAGATTGGATCTTATTAATTCCATTGTGTTCTATTTAAGACCAGATCTTTAGTAATTTCAGCTAAAGTACTCAAGTTAATAATTTGACAAAAAGCTTTCTTTCAAAACTCAAAGCCCACTGAGTACTCATCCATCAATCATGAATCAAGATCTACTTAATGTTAAAACATCAAAACTCAAAGCTCAAAGAATCATCATATAAAACGAAACCTTAGGATTTGAAAGATCGGCTGACCCTGAATCAATAATAACTCCTCCTATCTTCTCTTTCAATCCCCCTCTTCTCTGAAAACGGTCAAGAAGTGAACCATATCTGCCAAAAGAACCAAATAATGCCAAAATTTACTTTGCATAACCAAAATTTAAAAATAAAAAAAGACCTTTATTCATAAAAACTTACACGAGCCAGCCAGTGTTGCTAAAAGTATGGAAAATGAGGCACCTTTCACGACCATCTTCCTCTTTCTCCAAAACCCATCTGGCCAACTTATTTTCCAACTCAGCTATACGCTTGTCAAGCCTTGCAACCGGATCGAAGCACCGCAACCCCTTCATTTCTACAATAAAAGTAACCGCATGGATTCCTCTTGAATTATACCATTCCACATATCTCTTTAAATGCTTGGTTGTAGCCCCGAGCCATCCCAAAAGAACCACTGTTATGACTTTCTCTTTTCTTCCTAAAGCCTTAGCTTTTCCACTTCCATCGATAACAATCTCCGGCCCTTTGTTCCAAGCTAAACCCGTGTCGTCTACATTGGATTCGAGGAATGCATTGAAAGAAGAAGAAATGGAGAGAAAAGCAGAACTAAAGGGATTTGCTGAAGCTCTCAAAAAGGAGTACTTTGGGAAGCTTTGAGGGAGTTTGAGAAAATGGGTTCCTGTAAATTTAGTTGGAAATGGTTGGGTTGCTGTCAGTTTTTCGATATTTGAAGAAAAACTGAGAGCGTTAGAGGGAGCAGCCTTCATGGCCGAAAATTTAATCTGAGGATCTAAAAAGGGAGAAGGTTCATATAATGGCTTGTTCCACATTTAAAATATCGAAAGAAAATATTATGCAAGTTGAAAGCCTAGAAGCTCAGGGCTACTATTATGGGTCTTGTGTCTAGTGTGTTGCGGATCTACCTCTTTCAGCGCTTTACACGTTGATTTGACTCGGATTGCTCAAAAGGAAAAAAGTACCAAGGACCAAAGCTCATGTTTAGGGTTGCAAAAGTTCAGGAAGCTTTTGTCTTTATTTATTTTATTCCCTGGTTCTTTAGAAAATCATTTTTTCACAGACAATGAAAGGTGGTGGTTGCTAGAATTAAAAATTACTATATTTGAACTTTTGGAAGATGTGTACGTTTTTGGAAATCCACTTTCCAAGCTGTATCATTGATTTGTGAGGGGATGAACGTTTTAGCGGCTGTCACTTTCTTATTTCTGTTTTGGCCTTTTTGGTATCACATTTGATAGATTAATGAAGATAACAAGAAAAAAAGGACCTTCATATTAGAGAAATTCTGGGTAAAAAGTTTCCCAGCATTAATGAGGACCGTTATTTGAACTTCGAATTTGCATATTAGAAGTGCAATCAAACTTCCTCAAATTCGGATTGTTTTTTAGACAAAAGAAATGTAATCGGCATTGAAACTGTAAAATGATCTTAAGTTGCCTGGAAATTTGGCGGTTCATAGGGAAAATGGGATACAAGATCAAAATCTGGTCAACGGCTTGGATTTTGCCACAACTCCTAAAGTTACATCAGCCAGAGAGCCACATAACATAACCAACTCTTAAAAAATCCCCTTGTGCCCACTTCTCTCTTTCTTTGACTCTCATTTAGAGTTCTGCTTTTTTGGCTAGTAATTAAAGGTTGCTCTTCATTGTTGAGTCAGTGTTTAAGAACTATTCTTGAAGAAGTGTCTTCTTCATGTGGAGACTCTCAACCTCAGTGAGAACAGAGTTCTTTAACCCAATCTCTAACAAGTTTCTTGCTCCTTCAAGAATCTATCATCAGCCACGTAAGCTAATTTCATCTCTAATCTTCAACTTTTTATTTGTTAACTCTGTTTCACTTCTATTTGGAAACTGATTACTTTATCTATGTTTTTCTGCCATTCACATGAAGGAAGCAAATGAGAGATGAACAGGAGGGGTTTGTCTTTAAAGGGTATTGTGGCATCTGGTGTCTCAGTCATGAGCTCAGGTTTTAACCTTAGCCAATTAGTTCTTGTTGTTCCATCATCTTTATCCATTCATTCAATCGTTTATTTGTTTCTTCAACTTGGAATTCGTTTTGTTATTTCCTGCAATCTTGGTAACTAACTAAACTGGCAAATGGTGACAGATTTCAAGATAGTTTGGTCAAACAAACTACTTTTAGCGGAGACTTTGTGTTCTGTCTTAGAGTAGCAATCAAACTTTTGCTGGACTATAACTTGGTTTTGGTCGCTAAAGGCAGTCTACAGTTTAGACTATATGCAGCCTATATTTACAAATATAGAATTCTCTAGAGAACAAAAATTTTACTATATTTTTCACATTTCCTTTTGTGAATCTTTTGCAGATATACTTTATCAGCTCATTTGAGGATTTAGCATAAATAATTTCATGATTACTGAAAAAATAAATAAAAGATATTATTCAAATTCTTGCCTGTACTAATTCTCCTTTGGAGAGCATGGTATTCTCCCAGAAGCTAGCATGAAAGGATTCATGGAGCCAACCCACAGAATCTTTTGCAGATATACTTACTTTAGCAGCTCATTTGAGGATTTAGCATAAATAATTTCATGATCACTGAAAAAAAAAAAAAAGATATTATTCAAATTCTTGCCTGTACTAATTCTCCTTTGGAGAGCATGTTATTGTCCCAGAAGCTAGCATGAAACGATTCATGTAGCCAACCCGAAGAACTTCTGGATTAATTTTCAGTAGTTTGAACTGTAAATAGTGTACCTTTTAATTTAAAATTTAATTGCAGTTTCTTGTGAAACTCAAACAACGAGAATTAGAGGCTCAAAGCAGAAAATACCCATCGCATTCTGGTTAATTTTGACTATTGTTGTTTAGTAACAGTATTATGATCTCACGTTCTAAACCATATCTGCCATAAATGCTCTTACTGTGTTCTAAATTTGCAGGTATAACATACCTGAACTGGCTAAAAGTTACAAAGTTATGCCATAGACTTGCCAGGATTTGGGTGGATCGAGAAATCGATTATTGAGTATGATGTAATGATATTGAGAGATCAAGTTGTTGATTTTTTGAAGGAGATAGTAAAAGAGCCTGCAGTTTTAGTCGGAAACAGGTAGCAGCCAAGAAAAAGAAACATTTATCTCTTCTTCTCATTCCTGCATGTATGATCAAATGATATGATAAAACAGAAGTTTCAATGCTTGTGACATTCAGTAATCACAACAAATGAATCTTAACATGCTGTTGTCTGATATTCAAGGAATAAGCTTCAATGTGGTTTTTGCTTGTAAAAATTCATATATGCATGATTATATTAAATGCTATACACATATGAGTCTGAATTACATCCTGAAACAAAGCTTTCATGATAGCTAGTGCAGTTTCCTTGTTAAGAGCTTGATCTTCACCAGTCAAAATTCCAAAACATTAGGACAAAGCTTACTGCTTTGAGTTTTACTTCCTTTCTTGGAGTTTCTGGTTCTGGACATACGGTTAAAGAGAAGTAAAATGAGTTTCTTGGGCCAGAAAATCTGGTTTAAGCTTTACCAATATTTTATAAATGTTCAAACAATGTATTAGATTTCCAATTTTTATAAGATCAGCTCTAACCTACTTGAGTACTGGTTTTGTTTGATTATATGATAGATACCCTCAGGATATTCATCCTCTAAGTCAGGCGTTAGAGGTTTCTAATGCTAGGTGCCAATTGATGTCATATTTGAGAATTGAGACATATGCCCCCTTGACCTTGAGAACCTGCTTCCTCTAATTAATGCATAGCCTTCTAGCATGCCCTTTTCTACGAACACATACCTTCAGGTCTGCATTTTTGTCCATAAGTATATTGGCCTATTTGTTCCATTCCATTGATGCTATAAGTTGTGTTCTCAAATCAATTAACTCATTATGTAAATCATGTTTGAGATTCTGCAGAGCCTCGTGCTAACCTCACTAGTCGTCACTGAATTTATAGGATTTGGCTCCTCTCCATTTGGCTTCTGAAATGGAGAGTCCATTTCATGGTTAGATGGAAATGCCACTTCATCGAAATTGAAATCAATGGCTCTAACATCTAACATGTCGTGAATAATAATAAGGTTTTTTTTGCAGGAAATTATACTATTGCATACTATAGTGAAAGGTCCTTCACCGATGATAATGATAATAATAATAATAATAATAAGGTTGTTGATCACTTATCAATTACGTGAATACTTATCTAGACCTTCAAAAGAAAAATGAGTAGCATATAGCTTGCTGATCACTTGAAGAATTTAGATAATGGTGTCTGTAAAATTAGCTGTTAAAACCAGTTTATGTGCAGTTTTATCTCTCTTCCCCGACTTTCATTTTTGTTACACTGTTGATTATCACAGGTTAATGACACGATTCCTGTTGAATCAAACTGAGTACACTCTAGACAGTTTCTTGAGCAAGCTAACTTGCCCACTGCTGTTGCTTTGGGGTGACTTAGACCCTTGGATGGGTCTTCCAAGGCCACCCAAACAAAGAATTCTATCAAACACAATTCATGTAAACCTAAAGGCAGCGCATTGTCCACATGATGAAGTTCCAGAGCTTGTTAATAAGGCCTTGGCGGACTGGTTGTCCACTCTAGCTGCAAAAGCTTCTCTCCAAAGATGTACAGTTTTCAGGCATCTTCGCTCACCCTGGCTATAGTTTTACCTGTAATATAACTGTAAATCCATTGATTGAAGTAAATCCCTGAAGCTCACTATGTTTGCCATATATATGCAAGATAGTTGGTCATTTTTTATCACAGGTTTCTTGGAAACAAAAGGGGAAGGTTTTTACGCTTTCTGGTAATGTTGTATCTTTGAATGAATTGTTAGTTTTAAAATGTAAAATCAGGATAAGTACAATAATTGATTCACTTATGCTCAGTTGCAGAAACAGATTATAGCAAACCACCGTAGGTTTTTCCGTGAATGGAATGCTTATTCCCAAATAATGTCAATTGCTGGTTCGTTTGAGTTTAAAAATTGGCTAAAATATGAAAAAAAAAAAGAAGAATATTATTGTTATTATTCTTCCTCATTTCCCTGATGCAAGCTCCAATTTATAAGAAACACATTTAAATTTGCTACATTTTCTCACCAGCAATAACTAATCTTGGGTCAAACTTACATTCATGGAATTCTCTGTTGAATGTTGATTGAGCCAGATATGCCATTGTTTCCAATGATAACAAATCAATTCAGCAACCTCTAACAGATAGCTCCAAGTAAGATGACAATATTAAGAGATTATTTTAACAATAAAATGGGATGATTCTTTCTAATTCCTGTCATTTAGAATTTTAAGTAAAAATCATCAGTTTGATTAAAGATTTACTGGAATTTAGTTTAGATGACGGAATATGCCCTCCATTGCTGTAGCACTAATGTAATTTTCAGACTCTTCCATTTGATATGCTACAACCATAGAACAGCTTTAGGTTTTAGCTGAAATCCAAGATCAAAAAAACCATTCAGTATGTTTGAATGAACTTTTGTTTCGGTTAAGCCTTGTTTGCAATCCAGTTGACAATATTTCAGGAAAATTGTCCCTTTGATGTTTCTGCATCACCTTGTTTTTACAGCTAAAAACAATAGACAATGCAGCCAAAAGTAGCCGACCTTGTTTTCTGAGTTCAAAAAGTCCAAAAAAATCATCGGCAGATACTAAAATATCTCTCTACAAGATTATCAGGTTGACAGTTTGGGAAAATGAACAACTTTTCAGCAACAAGAATCACCTTCACAATAAATTAATTAATCAAATTTAAATGGCAATCAAGCAGCTATAGCTTCCAGGGAGAGAGAGAAGACATGCAGTTAATGCCAGCAACAGACAAGCAGGTAATGCGGCAGAGAGACAAAGAACGATGAGACAAAAAGCATCCTCGAAGGAAGCCTAGAAATTACAGGAAACAAAGAGCATGGAAGTTATGAAATTGCTGGATAAAACCTTAACTGTCCACCCCAAAGGGCATAGTCTTCACCGATGCATATGCTTTGTAACCATCGGATTGTTTAAATTTAATAAGCATCTTCTTCGGATACATTTTCTCTCAGTTTTACTTCATTGGTTCAGTTTCAGAGAAATGGAGAACTTGTCACAAAGCAGCAAAGCTTCTCAGCCTCATTCCTGGGCTCCATTGAAGCAAAGGCGGAGTGGTTATGAGCCGTCAGATACAGAGGCTGAATGGCATGAGAGTCCCTGGCATGATCATAACCAAAAGAACGGAACATCCAACCTTGTAGAGGCAAATGAAATCAAGTCCAATTTGCCGAGAAACATTAGCCCTTTGAAGCTCAGCCGAAGACATTCTTCAAAGGTCGAATATGATGAAGGGTCTCCACCTAGAACTAGTCGCCTTCCAAGGAGACATAACAGCAAGTCTCCTTACAAGACAAGGAGAGATGATGGTAAAATTATTAGCCTCTCGTCAAACTCCGAGCATTTAACGCATGTCTATCCTTATAAACCTGGGAAAAAGGAGCATAAACTGAATAATGAAATGGGAAGAGTTGAAAGAGAAACAATCGCGAAACTTCCTGCGGCTGGTAGAGTGAGTGAAAAATCAAACTATAGTCGTCGATCAGTGACTGCCCCACCCAGACAAAGATTTAGAGAGGACCAACGTAACATTAATATTCTTGGTCATGGCAAATTGGAGCAAAGAGGGGAACGGCCACCCTCGCCAATCTCAAGGAACATGATACGCAAACCAAGAGAAGCTTCCCTGGTGAAACAACAATCAGTCGGTGAAATCAATGAAATGGTAGCCAACACAAAGATTTCCAGAAGCCCTATATATAATGATGCTATGTTTGAAAGCACAGAGTCCATTTCACCTGGTGATATCTTCTTTTCTCGTGAAGCTGGGGCCCCGGCAATGCCAAAGAATGTCTTGCCAAATAATAGTGGCTTTGAAAATCATTTTCTTCCAAGGCCACCAACGTATGACCAAGATGATTCTGCTTCCCATCAACAAATAAGAGCTAATGGAAATATTGATCAGAAAGCTCGAGGGTCCTCATCAAGCGCTGGTTTATCACGAACAACTATGACTTCTAATTCAGCTGCTAGCAGACAGAGTAGAGGTAAGGTTAGCACTCAAATTAGTGCGATAAGTGATAGTAGTGGGAGGAGTAGTAGTATAAACGTAGGAAAGTTCACCACCAGTAGACGAAAGGGAGAGGCCTTGTTTGCTTGTGTGATGAGGAAAGTACCCTGCAGCACGTCAAAAAAATCAACAGAAAAACAAGCATTTGATGAGGCCTCTTTCATTGAGAAGGCATTTGTTGTTGAAAAACTGAGGCAATTTTGGGCTGATAAATATCAACCAGCTTCTTTGAATGGATTCACTTGTCGTAAGCAAGAAGCTCAACTTCTAAAGCAACTTGTAGGTCCTTTACCTAAAAGTCTTCTGTTCCTTATCTAATTTCTCATCCACTGCATATACTGTAGTAACGTTTTAGTTCGCGATGCAAGTCATTCCGTAGAGAGAAAAAAGATGTTTTATTCTTGTTGCTGTATTTTTTTTATCAGCATTTCTTATGAAGTTTTCACTTATCGTTTGTTTCACTTTTAGGTATCCCATGAGAGTTGTCCTCATATATTGTTCAAAGGACCATCTGGTTCTGGCAAAAGAGCACTAACAATGGCTTTCCTGCGTGAAATATATGGCGACCCTGGTGGGAATGTATGTCTCCGGTGATACAGAAAGATATCGGATTGTTTTTCACATTTTAAATTTTGGTAGATACCTAAGTTGACTCTAGCATTTTTCTTTTTCTCTTTTGGCACAGGTATCTCATGAATTAAGGCAATTCCAGGCTCAGGTATTATATTTTAACATGTAGAGAGTACTAAAGAAAGCCTCAAAATTCATATACTCAGTCTTCTCTAAAATAATGTTTTCCCCATTTCAACTAAGCCAGATGATGATTCCTACTCTGCCATCAAATTCTATCACCATTGATTTAGAGTTTGGCATCTTGTAATTTGAATCTGGACAGGACATAAGGCCAACGCAAGTTACTGTTCCACTTGCTTGGAGTGCTCATCATGTGGAGCTTAATGTGAACTTGGAAACAAATGCTAAATATGCATTAATGGGATTAGTCAAGGAAATAAGCACCAATTATACCGTTACCCCTGAAGTGAGCACTGCTGATTTCAAGACTGATTACAAAGGTTTAATTTCTTTAATTTTCTTTAACATATACAAGCAAACTTCCTCTTGAGCAGTTTAAAGCAATCAACTAAAAGCTAATAAGGTTCCATGTTTATTTCAGTTATAGTTCTTTATGATGTTGACAAGGCATCAGAAAGCATTCATCACTTGATAAAATGGATTATGGATTGTCATTCAGATTCTTGTAAATTCATACTCTGCTGTGAAGATGACATAGATATCCTAGAATCAGTAAAGAATCGCTGCAAAGTTATAAAAGTAGATGCCCCAGTTACTCATGAAGTAAGTATTCGTATCAGTTTTGCGGTGTAACTCATTTCCTTGTATAGTTGAATGTATATGGCAATCATATTATGTCAACATACCTTTGCTGCTTTCATTTTGTACAATGACATGCCCACCGCCATTGTTAGCCTTTCCAAGCTCCTCAAGATGGAACCCACTTTGTTTTTGCCCTGTTGATGATGGATGGTATTTAAGGTTTAGTGCTTTTTTTGCAGTACCATCTTTTGGCTAAGTTTGGGCTGATAAAATATTGTGCAGGATTGATCAGATCAGAACATGCTTTAACAAGTGCTTATATCTAATTTTCTTACCACTCTGACTATCAAATTTGCAGATCATGGAGGTACTAATCCAGATTGCCAGGAAAGAGGACTTTGATCTACCTATGAGTTTTGCTGCTAAGATTGCTGCCAAATCAAAGCAAAACCTGAGGAAAGCAATCATGGCTCTTGAAGCATGCAAAGCACACAAGTAAGAACTTGAAGCAAATCTCCTTAGATTTCCAATGAATTTATAAGAGTAAGCCATTAAAGGCCGCAAACCATATTTGTTCTTAAAATGTGATACTTTGCTAATGCAGCTATCCTTTTGCTGATGACCAACCAATTCCACTAGGATGGGAAGAAGTCTTGATAGAACTCGCGTCAGAAATCCTTTCTGAGCCATCAAAAGATAGGTAACTTTTAAGCTTTTCCTTTTTTTTTTTTTATTGTTCAATTCCTTCTTCCCACCTGAAGAACAAAGTCGAGGGGACAAACTATGGTTCTTCAAACTATACAAAGCTCGAAAACAGAAGTGACATTCCGCATAAGTGATTCTGTCAGATTATTCTTTGTACGGGGAAAGTTTCAAAAGCTTCTTCTGGATTTTGTACATCCCAAACTGATTCTCCAGGTGATGAATTTGAAACCCCAGAGAATCATTCAATGAAAAAGTTACCAAAAATCTCTTTTTTTTTTTTCCTGATATAGTTGCTTTTACAACCTGCAGAAGCTGGTAGAACAGTTTCTTAAGCAAGTTGAAGCTGGTATAAAAAGGGAACTTTATTACTGGCATGCTTATTATGTAAGTTCTGTCCTGCTCGTGTCATATTGTTTTGCAGACAGGCAAAAGTAACTCATGTGTATTGTTACAGGACAAGAGGCTCCCAACAGGAACAAGTGCTTTGTTGAAATTAGAAGGTAAGATGGAAACACCCTGGTTCAAAATTTGTCATTTCTTACAATACTTCAGTATCTGTCTTAAAGTTTGAGAAAAATCCCCAGTTTATGCGTTTTGTTTTTGGCAGAGTTTGTGGTCAAGTTTATGAGCATATATAGGAAGAGCACCGGTAATCGTCAGTTGGTGTAATATTGGGCGGAACTATGCTTTTTTCAAGTCATTTGTTGCACTAGATACTGAATTTTTCAGAATATGAGTTTCTCTTGCAAAGATTGCTCATAATCCAGCTGCTACTGTTGTAGAAATATGTTATCAGAAGGGGTTGTCCTTCAGATTGTCAGACAAAAGCATGTTTGACTCGTATCAATGAATGAAATGCAGTTCTTGTATCTACTTCAGCACCCAATCCCCTACTATGTGAGAGAGAAAAGCATGGAAATTTGGTATGGAAGAACATGAAGGAAATCTAAAACCTTGATAAACTCAATTTGCTGAGATGTGTTTAAATCTTATACAATTTTTTTTTTTAAAAATTTAGGATAAAAGGTTGATCGTTTTATCCAATTCATTCTCTCTTTGTTGGTTTAAATAGATTTATTTATGGTGAATTTAACGAATTTATAAAAAATTATCATTTTAAATTCTCTTGAGAATTGTTGAGCTTTGTTTCAATCCAAATAAACTTATTTATATCAAATGCAATGAATTTATTAAAAAAAAATTATCTTCTCACGTTCTCACGACACATCATAAACAATAAAGAGAGGCAAACTCTTTTACCACAAGCCAAAATCATATAGGACTAAAATATTTAAAAATTTCTTGAATTATTTCATTTTTTCAAACAAATTTATTATTATATTGTATTCTAATAAATATTTATTTTTTATTTAAATTTAAATAAAATTTTATTTCAAATAAATAATTGATTTGAATGAAAAGTTTATTTAGATATTAATTAAAAATTAATGATTTATTTAAATATAAATTAAAAATTAAAAGTTTATTTAAATGCAAACTAAATAATAATAACTTATTTAAATGTAATAATAATATAAAATTTATTTAAATAAAATGATAAAATTCAAATATTTTTATTATTTTAGCCACCATGTAATGACTATGTAAGGCAAAAAAAAGGCATAAAATTTTGATGACATAAAAAGGAAAATTAGTTTCTGAAGATGAAGATTATCTTATACTCTCGAAAACATTGATTCTTAATCTGAAAATGACTATTTAAATCGCTAATTCAGATTATCGAAATTTCCAAAACAAATTTTAAACAGAAAATGACCAAAAAAAAGGGGCGGCAAAACGGCAAATCCACGTGGACAAATTAATACCGTCGTCATTAACGTTGTAAAAACAGACACCACAGCCGACCTTTCCCGCGTGTAATGCTATCATTGGTCTTTCACCTAAATCTTACACCTCCGCATTTTCAGCCGTCTGATCTCAACCTTTATTTCCATTCAACGCTCCATATTCAGCGTGGACTGACCGCTGAACGATGCCGGAGGAGAGACAAGTAGGAGCAACAGCATTTTCTTCTTCCATCACCTTCCTTATAAAAGGCCTTCACCCCAAAAAAAAAAAAAAACATTTTCACGTTTTTTCCTGTCCAATTCTCTCACTTTCCGTAAGTTTCCTTCTTTTAACTTCGAATCCGGTGATTTTGATATGTTCTTCCTCAATATCTTGCGATGATTTTTGAATATTTTTTGTTTTGTTTTGTATCGAAGCAAACATGGATAACGATGGCGGCGAAGCAGCAAGGGGGAAGAGCGTTGGAATCTCTCGTGTTGTCCTCAATGAAAGGATCCTTTCTTCAATGACTCGAAGATCCGTCGCTGCTCATCCATGGCATGACTTGGAGATCGGTATAATAATTTTCCTTTGCACTAGTAATAAAATCACTTGTTCGTAGAGTAAACTCCATAGTAGATTCTTACCTCAACTATGCTTTTTGCTACGCAGGACCTGGTGCTCCAGCAGTATTTAACTGTGTAAGTTTTTTTTTTTAATTTCCTTTTGATATTAATTAAAATTTAATTGATAATCAATGTATAAATGCATTTTAATTTTGATTTTTTTTGTTGAAGGTGGTTGAAATTGGCAAAGGTAGCAAGGTCAAGTACGAGCTTGACAAGACCAGTGGTCTTATAAAGGTAAGAGTTTACCTTTATTTTTCCTTTGAAAATCAAAATTAATTGAACAATTTATTATTGAATTGCGTTGTTTTGGATTTTTTTTTATGGTGAGTTTCTTATATCAATTGAGAAAGAGCTGGTTAATTTATTCGATGTTTTTCTTCTGATTATTGCTAAGATTTGCTTTTAAACGAAGGAAATGAAAAATTATTGTTATTCTTTTAAAAATTAGGTTGATCGTGTTCTGTACTCATCGGTTGTTTACCCGCATAACTATGGTTTCATTCCAAGGACTATTTGTGAAGACAGTGATCCTATGGATGTCCTGATTCTGATGCAGGTAATGTCAGTTACTGTGTTTGATTCATGGAAATGTCAGGTTCTTTGGGGTTGCAGCTGAACTAATTAACTGTTTCTTTGATGTATATTTTTAGGAGCCTGTGTTACCCGGTTCTTTCCTTCGTGCTCGTGCTATTGGGTTAATGCCCATGTTTGATCAGGTGAAATGCTTCATCTTCTCTGCTTACTTCTGTATCATGGCTTCTATTATTTTACTTGAATAGGATATCTAAATGCATTTGTAGCTGTTGAGAAACCAACAGAAACTGCTGTACTCCAACTGTCTAAGGATGTAATCCATTATGCTTTCTCTTGTGTTGGGTTACTATTTGTTCGAAATCATATCTATCTTTTCTCTATTAGACTATTAATTGTGCTTCTCTTTATTTGCGTTGAGTCCCAAATCCAATGTTCATGATAAAGTAAAAAATATTGAATGAAGAGTTCTTGTTATAAGTTTTTGTTACTTCTGCATGATCTTTCCACAAGTTCCAATCCTTTCACTGTTGTTCCTTTTCCTGTTAGACATATTCAATGTTGAGATGCTTTTTGCAGGGTGAGAAGGATGACAAGATTATTGCTGTATGTGCTGATGATCCTGAGTTCCGTCATTACACTGACATCAAACAGCTTCCTCCTCATCGCCTGGCTGAAATCCGGCGCTTCTTTGAGGACTGTATCCCATTCACATGCATTTTATATTTGCTTGTTAGTATTATTAATTGCAGTCATTGTTGTCTTTCTTGTGACAATGCATAATAACAGTCATAATGTCAATTCTTTGCGCTAGTATATCCTTTACTAATCAATAATAACAGACAAAAAGAATGAGAACAAGAAGGTTGATGTAGAAGACTTTTTGCCAGCTGAGAGTGCTATTGAAGCCATCAAGTATTCCATGTGAGTTTGTTTGTGATCAGTACTATTATACTTTCTGATTTGATTTTGCATCTTGTTTGGACTTTAGATATGTTCTCTAACCTAAAAACATGTTTTCTGGTAATCTATCTATCATTGTTTGTGTCTTACTCGAAAGTTTCATTGTTACAGGGATCTGTATGCATCTTACATTGTTGAAAGCTTGAGGAAGTAACTGTCTTTGTGACTATTTGGTCAATTGCTGTAACATTTTACTTGTTGGATATAATATTTGTGTGGCTAGACTTCTAGTAGCATGCCTCTCTTGGTGAAACTTATCTAATATATTCATGCTTTGATAGTGCCTTCTGTTGCACTTCTTATATACTGAACTTTTTACTAGCATGTAATCTGTTGTCTATCGGCTATTGCTCATGGAAGGGAAAGATTCCAGTTTCAAAGTTGTGTTTCCACTTGATTTTCTGTATCTGATTGATGGACCGGTGGATCGGGGATGATACTAAGCCTTAAGGGTGTGTATGAAAGCTGAAATTACATAATTTACATGTTAGACAAAGATGGGGATAAAAGATCAATAGATTATGGAAGAAGAAAATATAAGCTATGGTGTTTGGATTAGTTTCTTTTTAACTGCTCTGAATATCTATTTAGGTTTTCTTTTTGGTACATATTTGATCTATATTAGATTATTCACGTCATCACATTATGCCAGCAAGAAGTTTTTTTTTTTTTTTTTTGCCATCATATTATAGATGTGATGTAAGATTAAAAGAAATAAAATTATAAATAAAGAGAATCGAAAAAAATTAAGAATAATTTGAATTGAGGAAAAAATAAAAAATGATCGTTTGAAATGTTTTGGACATATGAAATGTAAATTTATTTGTGTACTAATTAAGAGAAATTAGCTTTTAGATGTAGGGGAAATTTAAATTTCTAAAGGTATATCATAAAATATGTGAATGCGGATAATAAAAAATTGTTAGATTATTTCTGATAAAAATGAGTGATGAAAAAAATTTTAAAATTACAATTTAACATAATTTTCTTTTGACTTTTTATACCGATGATCTCAAAATGATCAGTTATAAAATTTAGTTTATTCATGTTGTTGTTGGGCATTCTGCAAGCAAGGAGTTTGGTGAACTATTTTCTGATAATCATACTGCCATTAAAAAGAATGTTTCATATTTAATTATCTTTTTCATTAAAAATTTGATATCTCTTCCTTGGTAATAAAAATTTTTAAATTGAATTAGAATAAAATTTTAAATCACAAATTAGTATTTATTTAATTATTTTCTATTTTCCCAAAAACCATTTCCTTTTATGAGAAAAGGGAAAAAAGAAGGGGTGAAAGTCCGAACGGAAAAACTTGGCATGATACGACGACGTTCTATATTTGTATCCTACAGAAGATGATAGACACGTGGTAAAAGGTGATTGACTCACAACGAGAAACTGTAGGACAAGTAGCCGTAGGGAAAGAGCAGATAGTCGCGGGACGCTGGCGATAGTTCTCTCCACATTTTCCTCCATTTTCAAAGCTTCACTTTCTCAGCAGAAAGAAAAAAAGTTACCTCAAATCTTCTCTAAAGCATAAGGAAAAACAATTATCTCCATCAATTAGAAGTAGAAGAAAATGGGAACATTGGGCAAAGCAATCTACACCGTTGGATTCTGGATACGAGAAACCGGCCAAGGCCTCGATCGCCTTGGTTGCCGCCTCCAAGGCAACTATTACTTCCAAGAACAACGTGCTTACCCTAAAACCCTAATTCCCCCTCAATGAATTTCATAATTGGATCTATTTCGCAACGAATCTATACTTCATTTTCAGCTACAACTCTATAATTCATAGTATAATAAACATTTGCCGTAGATTTTGATCCTGTAGAGCTGTTTCAAGCAATTGTTTGAATTTGTTTTGTTTCAGTGTCGAGGCATCGGACGTTGATGAATATATTCGATAAAGCTCCTGTTGTCGATAGAGATGCCTTTGTGGCACCTAGTGCTTCTATCATCGGCGATGTTCAGCTCGGACGAGGGTCATCTATCTGGTATGGATGTGTTTTGAGAGGTGAGCGGTCGAATTTTTGATTAGTTGATGAGTTGTACACGACATTTATGCTGTAGATTTACTGCTATTTTGTTTTTATTCAAGTTTAGGGTTTAGTGGATTTTGTAGTTGAACAAGTCTTGTAGTTGAATGCGTGCTTACAGTCAGTATTAGTCTTAGGAAAATGAAGCTAAGGATGGTTTGTTACTTTTTCGCAGGCATGTAGCAAATGTGTTTAGAGTTTAATCAAAATTCTTTTTAGGGGATATTATTTTTACATATCTCTTCTCGAAGACAAAACATTTTAATATCAGTGTCTGTTGTGGCTTTTGAGAACACCGGTGATGTTTTATATGTGAAAGCAATTATGTGGTTGGATAAAAGAATGTGTTTTAGCACATGATATGGTCAGCATGATATTGATGACTGAAAGGAATGTGTTAGTATGACATGATGATCTTAATGCTTTTGTTAAAATTATAATATCTTGTGGTGTAAGGACAGAATTAAGATGGTTAGAAACTTATAATGAAACTATTTTCTGTATGATTAATGGAAAAAATTGCCAAGTTCATTTATCGTTATTTGTAAGCTATAATACACTACATGTTGGATTTTGGTGCTTTTATGAAAAATAAAAATATGAATCTCATAGGGTAATAATTATTTGGCTCTTGAAGCAATAAGAGGCTTCAAAAATTCTTGACCCCTCTTGATCCATCCATTTTATGGTGCTGCCATTAAAAAATGAGATTGATGTAAAAGTCTTCAGTTTGTATCTTATTGAACTTTATGAGTAATTACTCTCTCTATCCCCTCCTTTCTCTCTCATCTGTGTGTGCTGTTGCATGCTATATCCATGCTAGCTGTTCTTTTCTGAATATAGTTTTTGATGCTTGCAGGTGATGTCAATAGCATCAGTATTGGGTCTGGAACAAATATCCAAGATAATTCCCTTGTTCATGTTGCAAAATCTAACTTAAATGGGAAGGTTTTACCAACTATTATTGGAAATAGTGTTACTGTGGGTGAGTGACCTGTCCTTAAAAGTGTTCCTTGTCTTTGGTTTAGCATCTTGAAAAAGTAATCATTGATTAAAAAAACTGGACAGGTCATAGTGCTGTGTTACATGGATGCACTGTTGAGGATGAAGCATTTGTTGGTATGGGGGCTACCCTATTAGATGGAGTTTATGTTGAGAAGCATGCCATGGTTGCTGCCGGAGCTCTTGTGAGGCAGAACACTAGGATCCCTTGCGGAGAGGTTTGTGGGCACTTCTTCACTGATATTTATGTGTGAATCTTGCTTTAAATCTAATAGATTTTATTTAACTTCATAACTTTGTTATTTGTTCTTGTGAGAGGCAAAGTTTTATGGTTTACATATATATGAAATAGGTGTTCGTGTTCTTAATTAAATGGGCATACCTGCTCTCAGTGAATTAGATACAATAGTTAGTATTCCATTTGAAAACGACATGGAGCAATAGATAACATTCATGGGAAAAATGCTAGCGATTGCAAGCATGAGTGGTAGTCTGTACCGCTTCCAAATAGAAGCTTGATTCAACCTGCATTTCTCATATCAGCTAGTAAGAATGGCACATATTTTTTAGGTGTTTTGGCGGGAGAGGAAACCTGCCATTACCAAGCTTTGACAAGAAACCTTGGGGGCAGTTATTATCTTCCTGCTTTGGTCATGATCATCATGGAGTTAAAATTTAAGATTAATCCAAGGGGAATGAATTGATCCAGCCTTTAGTACAAAAAGCAAATTCTAAATTTGTTAACAGATTTTCTCCTTTGTAATTACAGGTTTGGGGAGGTAGCCCAGCCAAGTTCCTGAGGAAGCTAACAGAAGAAGAGATGGCCTTCATTTCCCAGTCAGCCCTAAATTATTCCAATTTGGCACAAGTTCATGCAGCAGAAAATGCAAAGAGCTTTGATGAAATTGAGTTTGAGAAGTTGCTTCGCAAGAAATTTGCTCGCCGTGATGAGGAATATGATTCAATGCTCGGGGTTGTTCGTGAGACACCTCCTGAGCTTATCCTTCCTGATAATATTATGCCTGATAAAGTGGCAAAAACTGCTTAGGAGTTGAAAATTCCTTTCTACCTTAGTTTTCTTGAGATTCAATGTCACTGGATACTTTGTCATCTTCGGATTATTTACGGAGAATGGCTGCTTCTCAGTTCCAATAATTTTGGGGAGCCTGGCTGAAGTGTTAAAATTGAATCATAAGTTCACACTCAGGTATATGGCTGAGCATATCGTCTTTAGATTTAGAAGTTGAACTTCATTTTGCAAACACATCTGGATGTGCAAGCCATCCAAGGTGGTCTTGTGTAGTTGTAATTGAGCTTAATTGCTTTGCTGTTTACCGGAATAAAAAAAAGTGCAAGCAATTGTTTCAAAGTTTGCTGCAAGTTGGCACTGTATCTTGATTCCTTTAAAGTTTTGAACTTTCGTTTCTTTCCATCATAAGAAAGAAGAGAAAAATCCAATTTCTAGTGCCCCACTGTCAAAAGCCTTAAATTTTACAAGTATTTGTTTGCTCTCGACTAAAGTTAACAACTTGATTTTAAGAAAATATTAGACTTTATGGCTATCTGATTAGTGGGCTAAAACTAAACATGTCTACGGTGAAGTAAATTTTTGTGAAAGGCCGGCGCTACCATTCGGCTTGAAAAGACAGAATAAGGGCCCTGAGTCCTGACTTGTAATAATGCTGTGATTGTCTCTAGAGTCTAGCCTATTCTCATTAGTTGGGCTTGTGTAGAAAATTACCAGAGGCATTGTCCAGAGTTTCAAAAACCCATGTCTGAAAAAGCATTCTTTTGGGTAGCTTTGAGGTAACGAAATAGAAAAATGAAAATTTGTTTCCCCAAGCTTAGTAATGAGCTGAAGAAAAAGGATTGTAAATCCATCACTGGTCCATCTAGAATTGTTTGTTAAACTAAAAAGGCTACTCAAAACGAAAATGGATGGCCAACTCTTGCTTAGCTGAACTCTTAACATCTAAGAAGCAAAACATGTTTTTAGTGTCAATCCATTATCCAACCAACAAAACCTATTATTTGATCCCTGATTCCAACGCAGAATTAAACTAATAGGAACCATTATATAACAGTCTGTCTTTGGTCGTTGTTGTTGGCTTCTTTTCTTTTTCCTTTTTCTCTAAACAAACCAGCTAAATTATGGCCAAACTTGTAGTTCTTTCAAAACCTAACTTATGGCGAAACTTGTACGGCTCAGCAACTCCCATTTTGTTTTTTAACCAAGCAATTCTCACTTTATCAACATGGGATTTCTATAGTATTTCCATTTTTGTTATAATATAGTCTCACTCTACTCTTCTTCCAAATCAATCTTGATTCTTCAATTAGTCATATTTGAAGATGTTCAAGGACATAATAAGTAAAAACTGGACCTTCAACTTCAATCTTCATAAAAAAAAAAAAAACACAGAAACAATAATTGAACCAAATCGAGATGTTTCAAACTATTTGTCATTTGAATGGTGAGAAAAGTCGGTTTATTGGTTGAATCAGAGCCATTTGTCATCTGTTTTCGTTCACGGGATTGTGTTTCGGCTCTTGACTATTTTAAACTTAATGATAGAATGTAATGTGTATTGATTAAACAAAGTCAAGTGCAAGAATGATGGCCTTTTTTGTTTTACAACTTTGCATGGTGTGACTGACAAAAAGTGGCAAACATGAGAGCCCACGCCCAAATTTAGTCATCTTTTATGGTATTGGTAATTGGTGAGAGGAAATAAAAGGGGCCCCCAACTTGGGATTTCAGTAATTCAACTTTTCTCTTCAAATTCACCAACTGGCAATAGCTCCCAACCTAGCAGAAGAATGAGGGATTCTAAAAAAGATTGCTTGGTCTCTAGATTACTAGGCTAGGACTCTTTAAGGGCAGGAGCTGGGATTCTAAAAAAGATTGCAGATTTGTAGACATTTTGAATCTTGCCTTTATTTTTTAACACAGTTTTTTCTTTTGGATCTTTGAACCAAAGGATGAAAAACAAACGAAGGTTATCTATGACAAAGGGAAAACACTGGTTTACTGTACGTATTTGGCTGGTGGCAGGCTATACTGGCGACAAAGCCAAAGCAAAGAAACGAAAAGACCAGTCCAAGAAAAAAAGTTGATTTAGCAACGTTTCATGGCATTACAAAATAATAATTTGTCGTTGCTAAAACCTTTTTAGAACAAAAAAAAAAAAATTGTTGCAAAGTTGTTGCAGTCGAAGATATTGGTAAATGATGCAGGTAAATCTTTAACAAATGGTAGCCATGGTTGAAGATATATCATTGTTCATAGGCTCTTGGTAATCATGTTTTCAAAACTGTCAACTTTGCTGTCATAATTTTAGTTTATAAAGTTTTTTTTCTCCCAAGAAGTTTAGGTATAATAACATTGTTAATTTCATGGAAGAAAAAAAAAAACAGTCTCTCACCTCAACTGGAAGCCTGTAAGATAAAGACAGTTAAGGATGTCGGAATTGATGATCCAGATGTGTTCTAACGTTTAAATTAATATTTTTATTAATAAATAAAAAAATAAAGTAAATGAGAAAGTAAAATAAGATAAGAAAATTACCATATTTATGTTGTAGATCCTCCAATTGAATATCATCGAACCATGATAAATTTAGAACATAAACAATACTCTTGGGAGCATTTTATGGTTCTAAAAGTAAAATAGATATATTATCCAAAAATATTAATCATCAATCAAATAGGATAATTTAATTATTTTGATCATAATTAACATATCGAGTTTACTCGAAATCTTAAATTTTATATAAATTCAATCATTTTAACTTGATTATATTTTAAAATATTAACTTATCACTTTTAAATTGAATTGTTAATTAACTTATATCAAATCAACAATTTTAATATTAATTTTATCATTAAAACCCGAAACATTCAATTTGATATTTTTATTATATAAATATAAATAATTTTTCTCTCCTTTTTGTTTCTTTAAAAATTATAATTTAAATATCAAATCCAAATGTTGAAAAAAAAATCTTCGACCTTCGTTATTAATCTATCCCTTACCTTTTTGATTTTAGATTTCTGCCTTCTTCAAAATAGTTCGACACCAATAAGTACTATTTTATATAAATAATGAATAGTGATAGTTGAAAAAGCATGCAAAGCTTATGGTTTTAGGAAACCATGAATAATTAGTGGCAAAGAAAATGTGTCAAATGAAAACGGATGCAGCTAATTGAAGACAGAACGTGAGGGAGGATTTAATGAGTAGGGCTTAAGACAGGTTGAAGGTTTTAAAATTATCAAGCATAATTAAAAACTTGTAAGGGACGTAACATAATTATTGTGTCTGGATAAGATGTCTGATTGACAATTAGGATTAGAGATGAATCTTTTTTCCTACCACCCAATGACTACAATAAATAATAATAGTAATAAATAATGAATCGCATGTCCTTTTTTGTCATTTACAAGTTTTCTTTATTTATTTTCTTTTGAATTAATGTAACCAATAATATTTAATTAAAATAAAATATTTAATATAATGCTCTTAAGATGATATTTAAATTATTATTTAAAATTAATCATGTTAACATCACCTTAATTAATATATACATAATTTATGGACCACATTGAAAAATTTTAAAATTGATTACCTTATTAATAAATTTTTTCTTTTCGTCAACCTCCTTCTGAGTGGCTTCAGTCTGCCAAAGACGCTTGTAAACACAGAAAAAAAAAAAAAACAGACGATAATAATATTAAAGTTTTATAAAAGATAAAAACTCTGTCATTGTAGGACCCTAGAAGCTTTTCATTTTCATGGAAAATCTTTCACATTCTCGGAAACCAAACAGGGGTTCTTCTCAAGCTGCATTCACCAAGCGAACGACAACTTGCAATGGCGCTACCAACTTCTCAGGCGAAACCATGTACGACGACGTTTTCGGTGGTCCGCCGAGGTTCGGTGGCGGTGGCCCGACTTTGTCGCCGAGGCCCGAGGACTACACCGAGATTTTCGGCGGATTTCACGCGTCTCGAGGTGCGTCGATTCCGGTGTTGGATCTTCCCTTGGTGGACGACAACGAGGAGGTGACATTTGATGTACGGAACCCGAGGTTTAACTACGCCGAGATTTTCGGCGGCTTTGACGGCTTGGACTTCGCTGCTTTGTACGAGGAGATGAGACAAGCCAACGGCGTTGATGATCATGATCTTTGTGGTGATTCATTTGAAGAAGCTCGGTATGCTCATTTCTTCTTCTTTGTTAGAGTTTTAATCTTTTTTTTTTTTTGTAGTTTTTCCTTTGAGCTTTATGCTAATTGTTTTACAACAAGAAATGGGTAAATTTTGGTTTTTTTTTGTTGGTCACTATTGAGGTAATATAATATGATAGTTATGGTACTGCAAAGTTTTGATTTTTTTCTTCTTTTTTGGGTACTTGAATTTTTATGTTTTTGTATGTTGGCTTTAAGAAAAAGATTTTTTTTTTTTTTGAATTTTTAACTTCCATTAACAAAATGGCTAGAATCAGGCGTCTGAGTTTGGTGGTAAAAACAACATAAAATTTTTGACTGGAAAATTACCTGTTCTTTGGGGAATCCAAGGGGGATTATGGCAAGAATATCTTTATGTACCTGTTCTTTTGGTGAAGCTATGATTTCTATGTAAAACTTCTAGATATGTTATGTTTCAAGGTGTCCTGGTTGACTTCTCAATGTAGTGAGGAGTATAATTTTGATGACAGTAAATTCATTTGTTTCCCCTCATAGGATGCAGGCAGAAACCGAGTCTCTGTCAGAAGAATCGGATCATTCTGGAAAATATTGGTTCTTCTCGAAGGGAGATTATTATGAGCCAATTGATAGTAGTATGGAGTTCAATATATCATATCATAAAGCTAATCTTAGAAGCAACAGAGATATGTCAAATGGGAATGGGGTTACACATGTTGCTCAGATGCATGCTGATCCTGAATATGCTTATATAATAGAAACTCCCTTGCAAAAGACAGAAAACAAGAATCCACCGTTGCATGTGAATGATGATATCAGTCTTGAGTCCACTGGTGGAGTTACAAAGAAAAAAGTTCTTCGGAAAACTGTGTCCCATCCTTCTAACTGGACTCCTGGTGGACAAACATTTATAAATAACTCTACTCAAAGAGAATATCGAAGAAATGGCTCTTGTTCTAATGAGATGTTTGTAACAATTTCAGAAATCAACCTAAGAACACTTCCATCTGATGTGCCACCTCCCTCTAGGCCTCCACCACTTGTTGGTGTCAAAAATGGAGACTATCAAAATGGTCAACAAGCTGCTTCTGGAGGGAGAATGGGTGATAGTTCACCTCCTTACTTTGACGTTCAGATAGATGCAAGCTCAGCTGCTGCAGCCTGTGCTGCTGCTATGAACGAAGCAATGGACAAAGCTCAAGCAAAGCTGAAGAGTGCAAAAGAACTACAGGAGAGGAAGAGGGAGGGCATGAAAAACTTTATAAAACCAGGTTCCAAGTCTGATGGAAAAGATAAGAAGGAAAGGTCCAGTAAGGCCGTTGATGACTCCAGTGATATAAAAGATGAGAGAGTGCAGGGCATGTATGGAAAAGAAGACAGTGGAATGAAAGTATCTGTTAGAGAGGAGAGGCAAAACGCTGTGAAAACCCCGGCACCTGATTCATTGGAAGGTGAAAAACTTTTGAATGTGCGCAAAAGATTTGTAGTTGAGAAGCGTGGGAAGGAATCCCAATTGATTCAAGAGTTTGATGCTATTAATGGAGCTGATGAATGGCAGGAAGCAACTCAATTTTTTGAATTGGTTAGAAAAGATAAGTCAAGAACCTGTTTTGAGCAGACAAACAATGAGAAATATTTGGTCCAGAGCATGAAATCTCATGAGCTTCAGCAGAAAGCTAAAAAGGCAAGCATCGGAGCACCGGGGCAGCAACCAGACAGTGATAGGAAAGTAGAAGCTGTTAGGGAAGACCATGAACTGGAGAAAGTTGAGAGAGACATGAAAACAGCAAAAGAAAGTTGTGAAAGGGGGGAACTCACTGGAATATCAAAACCAGCTAAAGAGGCCCGTAGGCATAAAGGGCAAGAGAAAAAGGTAAAAGCCGCTCAAGAGGTTATTGAACTGGAGGAGAATGGGCAATCTATAACAGCATGGAAAACTTTGGAAAACGGAAAGAAACCAACTGGAGCTGATGAATTAGGAAAATGTGAGAAGCGGGTAAATGCTCAACAAAAGGAAAATCAAGTTGAAGTTGGGCAGGCTATGGAACAGAAAGAGAATGGGCAGCAGGAGAAAGAGACTAGTAAAATTATTGAAAATCTGGAGAGAGTCAAGGAGTGTCAAGAAAGGGAAGATGAGGAGAAAAGCTGGAGGGAAGTTTTTGAGCAGAAAAAAAATGAGACAAAACTTGAACAGGTTCTTGTTCAAGCAGAGAATGAGAAGAGAGAGGCTCTTGAGCAGGACGAAAAAGAGAAGAGATTGAAGGAAGCTTGTGAACAACAAGAAAGCAAGAAGAAAGAGAAGGAGGCACGTGAACTAGAAGAAAGTGAGAAGATATGGAGAATGGCTCTTGAACAGATAGAGAATGAGAAAAGACTAAAACAAGCATGTCTGCACAAAGAAAATGAGAGGAGACAAAGAAAGGCTCTTGAACAGGAAGAGATGGAGAAGACACAAAGAGAGGCTTATGAGAAAGATGAAAGTAAGAGTAGACCAAGGCTGCTTACTGATCAAGGAAAAGATGAGATGCAACAAAAGGTTATTGAAAGAGAGGAAACCGAGAATAGACTGAAAGAGGCTTGTGAAAAAGAAGCAATTGACAAAGGGCTCAAAGAAGCTTGTGAAAAAGAAGAGCACACAAAGAGACTCAAAGAAGCTCGTCACAGAGGAAACAATGAGAAAATGCTAGAAGAGGCAGTTGAGCAAAAGGATTATGGCAAACCAGCAAAAGAAGATACAGAAAATGATGTCAAACAAAAAGTAGTTGAGCAGGAAGAAATTGAAGAATCTGAAGAATTGCTGGGAGTAAATTTTGTGTACCAGCAAACTGAAAGGGGTGAAAACGGGAAGAAACTCAAAATTGCTGAAGGAACCCATAAGCATGCAGAGGGAGAGGATCCTGTGGTATCTGATGAGGTAAATAAGCTGGATTATAGCAAGAAACGTCAAGAACTATTGGTTGGAAAGAATGATCAAAACTGTGTTGAGCTGGAAGAAATTGAAGAGTCCGTTCCTGAAGAAAATGGAAAGATGGAGGCTGAGTTCAGAGACAGTGAGAAGAAATCGGAAGCAATGGGGAAAGGGGATGTCAATGGAAAGTTCATTGCATCTGGAATGGCACCTTGTGACTTAGAAGTTAAAGTTAATCAGTTTAGAAAGGATGATTTCTCAGTCTTGTGTCATCAAGATGACGGTGTGAAGAAAGCTGTTGAAGCTGGAATTGGCAACAGACAAAGAAATGCTGAGAAGATTTACAGTTTCCCTGGAATGGACTCTGATAATGATAACCAAGGGCTGCAATTTGCTTATGAATGGAGGGAAAGAGCAACAAATATGAAGGAGGCCCAGGTTTCCTCACATCTTGAAGAAAACAAGGACAAGTTTGTGTCTGCTCAAGCAGTGAAAGAGTCTGTTGAAACTGGAAGGAAACCAGAAGAAGCTAAGGCCTCTGTGTTGGAAGAGAAAGGAAGCACTCAGAAAACAGTTAAGCAGGTTAAGATAAGTCAGAGCATGGAAAGTAAAGACAAGAATATGAATGAAAGCCTTACACCAGAAGAGAAGCTAGCTGAAAGACTGAAAAGAGAAAGAGAACTGGAAAAGGAACGTCTTAAAAAGATGGAAGAAGAAAGAGAGAGGGAGAGGGAAAGAGAAAAAGATAGGATAGCTGTTGACAGAACAGCTATTGAAGCTCATGAAAGGGGATACACTGGAGCCTGTGAGAGGGCAGAAAGGGCTGCTGTAGAAAGGGCAACTGCTGAAGCTCGTCAAAGAGCAATGGCAGATGCACGTGACAAATTAGAGAAGGCATGTGCAGAAGCTAGGGAGAAGTCTTCTATGGAGGCCAGGATCAGAGCAGAGCGTGCTGCTGTGGAGAGAGCAACTGCAGAGGCTCGAGAGCGTGCTGTAGAAAAAGCAATGGCTGAAAGGGCAGCTTTTGAGGCAAGAGAGCGAGTAGAACAGGCTATGTCAGATAAATTTTCAACTTCTTCTACAAACAGTGGAATGAGAACTAGCTCTTCATCCTCTGTGAGTGTGTCCTTAATTTCTGTTTTTTTTTTTTTTTTTTCTCTTTTCTTATGAAATTCATGGTTCCAGACAGCATTTTGATGGATCTTAATTGGCAGGATTTACAGGATCAGCATTTTCAGAGCACCCGCTCTTTTGGTGGTTTAAGATATCCGTATTCTTCTGCTTATAATGGTAGGTTATTTTATGAAGTACTGACTGTATCCTTTTAATGCACAGCTTTAGACCAAAATAGAAGAAAAAAATATTCTAGTTTGCTTTTCTGCTACTGAAGAAGTTTCTTTCTGTGCATGAAGGAGCTGAAGGTGAATCAGCTCAGAGGTGTAAAGCTAGACTGGAGAGATACCGACGAACAGCTGAACGTGTGGTATGGTTTTTTTCTTCTTTTTCTTCTTCTGAAAATCTGAAATATTTATTTATGCATATCAAAATAACATCTAGCATTTGAATTTTTGCAGGCAAAAGCTCTTGAAGAAAAGAATATGCGTGATCTTCTTGCTCAAAGGGAGCTAGCGGAAAGAAATGTATTCTTTGGTGTTCTCATCTGTGAAGATATTTCATGATTACAAAGTGTTTGCATTTTTCACTGTCTTATTTCTTTTTTCTTTTTGCAGAGATTAGCAGAAATTCTGGATGCTGATGTTAAGAGGTGGTCGAGTGGGAAAGAAGGGAACCTGCGTGCATTGCTCTCGACTTTACAATACGTATGTTCTAGTAACCAAAATCTATTTAGCCAAAAACTTTTATTATCTTTTCCTTTTTTTACTAGGTCATTTAATGGGCTTGATGCTTAGGTTACCATCATTTTGGGCCATTTGATTTGTTGATCCATCTAATTTTCGTATTACTAATGTAGACTGGTGCCCTAGCTTTTGATTATGATTATCATTAAATGTGTGAGTACAGCAAACGTTTTTTTCTCTTTTTTTTGTTCAGCAACAAACTAATTGAACTTAGTGCTGGTACTTTTCTGTGATGTTATCCTGTTTGTAATTTGGACTGGCCTTTATTTAACTCACTTGTTAGGTTTCGCCTAACTAATGATAAGTGACTTGACATTCTGTCTTCAGCTTTTATTTTATATATGATCTAAAGCTGTAGCATTAGTTATTTAAAAGTTATAACCGAGCTTTCTTGATTGACAGATCCTTGGGCCTGAGAGTGGTTGGCAGCCAATTCCTCTAACAGAAGTTATAACTTCAGTTGCTGTGAAGAAAGCTTACAGGAAAGCCACTCTTTGTGTTCATCCTGACAAATTACAGCAACGGGGTGCAAGTATTCAGCAGAAATACATTTGTGAAAAGGTCTTCGATCTTCTGAAGGTCAGTTACTGCTATACCACTTCCTTTTGGCTCTTTAACATAAATGCTTTTAACAATTGTAGTTGATATAAGTGATGGGGGCTTTTAGAAATCAAGGACAACGCAGTATCTTGTTCCCTAACTTTTGGTTGCTTATTGATCTCAGGAAGCTTGGAACAAATTCAATTCAGAAGAGCGGTAGCCCCGTGTTAGTATGGATGCCAATTGCATCATTATAATTCACTATGTTCTATCTTCTGAGCGAAACGTTGAACCCCGATTATCAATTATCATTACTCATGCATGCAGATCAAGAGATTTTGCTCAGGCATAGACGATTCAGAAATTTGAAACCATTATTAATTTATTCCCACATAAAACGAAGAACACAGTGATACAAATATGCTTTACTCCTCACATCCTGGTATACCTTTGGCTTCTGGTGAAGACTGAAGAGGGACAGCAAAAAAAAGACTGGAAATTTGAAACTACCGGTGAGAGAGTTCTTAAAGCATTGATCTAAACATTGAAACAAGTACATCTGAAATAACCATAACCAGGCCACCTAGATGATGAAGCTATATGTATAATCTGGATCCTAAAATTAACGGATTACATCAATGTTATATAAGAAGGTAGATGAAACATTGATAGTTAGCCATATTTAAGGATGCTATGCAACCTAACAAAATCAAGACAATTTTTTGGACCAAACTCCATGTTAATGTGCTTATCTCAGTGACGTTAATTCAACCATTTGTCGCCATTTCAAGCCTCTCATCAGTGATCCATCCCTACGCTTTCGTGTCGTCATGAAAATGGTTCATGACGTATCTGCTTTTCCCTCTTAGCTGCTCCGTTTTGTCAATGTGATCCTACCTAAGCCGCAAACAACACAATTTTCGTCGTGGTTGTTGAGAATGGCGACTAAAGTCCAAGAGTCGTAAGCATGTTCCCACACACCAAACAATGAACAATTTTAATCAACTACAGCGTGCATAAATTCCTCTATAAATGCTACTATTCTGTTGTTCTCCATCAACAATTGCCACCCACCCTTTTCTCTATATTTCAAACTTTGTACATTCGCACTATCTTGTCCTGCTAGCTAGCTTATCCTCTTCTTATCACGCCATGGCCATGCTTAGAGCCTTTAGCACAAGAAGAAGCCATGGTGGCTATGAACGGTTACTTGAAGCTGAAGTTGACGAGCCTGTTTCGAGCGTTAGTCGGTTTGAAGCACAGCTGAAGAGGGCTAGAAGTGTGCCAGCTCGAGTTTTTGGTTTATCAAGAAAGTTCACCCCGGAATCGACCATGCCTGAAAATTCTCAAGTGAAAAAATCATCGTCGTCGACTTCCAACAAAAAGGTTACCAAGAGTCCTCACCCACTGTTCAGTCTCTTTGATGCTCGTCGGAAGAAGAAAACGACAGCAAAACCAGAATATGCTAGGTATGTGGAGTATCTGAAAGAAGGAGGGATGTGGGACACGAATGCAAATATGCCTGTCATATACTACAAATGAAGAAGTACTTTTGTTCTTGTCTTGTTTGGATAAAAAAGGATTCGAACCCATAATTTGTACACATATCAATTAGCTAGCTCGATTGCTCCTTTACTTTGATCTGTCCCTCGTTAACATAACTAGAAACCAGGAGAGAATAGAAAGGCAACGCAATGATGTCATTATGTGAACACAAATGGCTTCGAACGTGGTATAGACTGTGAAAGAGATTGAAGAATTTTAGTTCAAACCCATTTCCTCACCTAGGATTCAGAATCTTTTGCTTTCACAAATGGAACACAAAAAGGCCAAGAGCTGTCCAATCCCATTGTTTTGGACTCCAAAAAGCTTGTTTCCTTCACCTCAATGTTTGGTCTTTTTCCTAAGCCCATGCTCTTGAATTCTTTTATGCTGGCCATGGGCCTTACCCCCAACTCAAGAAGGAGATGATGGGCCTGACGAACCCAATTTACTCCTCTAATAAATAATATATAATATAAATATAAAATATGAATATGATATGATTTAAAATTATAATAATAAATATATATGAATTTAATAAAATAAAAAAATTATATTTTATATTTTTATATAAAATAAAATATAAATATAAAAATTTTAATATTTGATACTATATAAATACTATAATCATCAAATTTAAATTTCGAAGAGTTTTGATGAAAGCTTTCTTTTTTATGATAACTGATTCCAATCACACAAGGTCAGCCATTACTCGAGCGCTTTAATATTAAGCTAAAAAGTTGTTTATTATATTCCGAACAAAAGCATTTAAATATCATAATTTTAAACATGTCACAATAATATAATATAAAAATAACAAAATTTATTATATAGAATAAATATATAAATAAATAATTTATCATATCTTAAAATATTTTTATAAATATAAAGATAGAAAATGAAAATTATTCTTTGCTTGACATGTTGGCTGCCACGTCATTCATATACTGAACCCCCAGTCCTTTCACTATTACGGCGTTTTGCCCAAAGAAGTTTCGCAGTTTAAAACGATATCGTGCACCTCATAAAACGGCAAGCCGATATATCAGATTACCCAATCTCCCCAAAACTTTGGAGACCTCCCACGTGTATCTTGCTAAAAACCCGAAACCACCCCTTCCCAACAGAATCCTTCGTTCCACCCTCAATCAAGGTCAAATCCGACATTTCAGTAATTCCCAGCCAGCAATAGCAAAAATTCTAGCTTTTGAAATTTTTGCGGAGAGAAGCGGAGGTGGTCTCTGCGATAATAACTTGGGGGAAGCGTTTTCCGTTTCTTTTTTTCTTTGGGAAGATCAGAGAAGAAATTTATTTTTCATTTTTTTTATAATTATAAAAATGAAAATCCCCGTAATATGTTTCTTAACTTCACTCTGATCTCTCCGATTCTCTCTCGACGCGCCACCGTCTCCTCCACCATCGCCGCTGCTAACGCCTAGGGTTTCTTGTAAAAGGATTCTCTATTTAGCAGCATATAAGGTAACGAATCTCCTTCGGTTTTTTATATATAGAATTCTTTTTATTTGTTTTTTATTTTCTTTTTCCATTTTTTTTGAATTCATGAAAAAGTTAACGTAGATGGTTAAAAATTGCATATTTAAAAAAACTATCATTTTTTTCTTTATTTTTCTGTTCCGTTTGGCTGCTGGTGAAATCAGAAGGAATTCTCATTTGTTTCACTTATAGCTGTGTCTAATAACACCGTGTTTGGATTCACTTTTTCATTTAATCGTACTTATATGGAGCTTTTATTTATTTACTTATTTATTTATTTATTTATATATACAATTTGAGATTAAATTTAGCTATCTGATCTTATTCAAAAAGCTATAGGTTTTAGACTTTTTTCTTAAGAAAAAGGTTTTGATTTTATTATAACAGCGGAGCTGAATAATTGTGCTTATAAGAATTGTGGATGATTGACTCATTCCATACTAGAAATAATCACAGATATCTTTTGAAAACACGGATTCTTATTTCGTAATGATATCCCACGATCAACACAATTGACTGAATCTCATGAAACCATTTTATAGAAGTTCATTGATATTTGAATTTTAGATTGTCTATTATTTTCCTCTTTAGCGGACAAAAGTTGTAGCTGAGTTGTTGGAACTAAAAGTTAACTACTATAAGCTTAATTCAGTGAATCTTCTCAAGTTCATGGAAAGTAGATTGTTCTCAAATGTAGGAATGAAGGGATTTTCTTGTTTCACTTTGCTTCAGGTTATTCTCCTAAAAAAATGATACATATGGTTTAGTGACATTAGCTTTTGTTGTTTGATTATGCAGCCATGCCAACTTTTACTGCTATAGCTTTGGATAGGTTGTTGGAACCTGGAGCTTCCAAATCTGTAGACAAGTCTGGTCCTATTTTAAACCCACCTATCCCCAACCCTAAGCCTATTCCTAGTCCTAATTCAAAGATGGAAAGCCGGAACGGTACATCAGTAACAGAGAGGAAAGTTAATCGCCCCCAAATATCACCTGCCCTCTATGCTACTCCTGAGGCAACCCCACTACCTGATTCGCCATCTTCTTTCCCTCCTTCACCTTACATCATCAATCACAAGCGCCGTGGGCCTCGCCTGTTGAAGAGCTTTTCCGAGGTCAATGTTTCATCTTGGAAAAAAAACCTTGAAGAAGATGAGGTTAATGGGAATGCAAAGCTGGCAAAAACCAAGTCTGTTGATCTATCAAAGGATGTTTCTGTTACTTTTAGCATTCCTGAACTTAATGAAGAGAAGCATGAGAATGCTGCCCTGAGTGTTCCTATCAAAGTGGAGCAGCCAAATGCTGTCCATACCGGCTCCATTCAAGATGAGCACATGAATGGTGCCCATCATGGTGACTTTGGGAGCAGTAATGGGGAAGTTGGAAGCAGCCCAATGAGTAATGGTTTGTCCAGGGATAGTGCTGTGCTGAACCTTTTTCCATTGAACATGAACAGATATGGTGACAGCGAAGATTTCTTTGATCCAAACGAATCAATGAGTGTCGCAAGTAATATGAGCGGAGAAGATAATACCCGGGCAGAAAGTTCTGCAAGGTTTGCTACACCAGGGGTAGAGTTTTTTGATGCATGGGATGGTATGTAGGATTTTATTTTCATCTGAATATGAGGTTCATGTGTAGATGCATATATGTTAACGTAGGTTCCATTTTTAAGCTGGAAAATATTTTTCATGCATGACTGCCATCTGCTTTTAAAACCTGATGCATTATCTAGTAGGAGAACCATTTGTGCTAGCCTTCTTTGTTTAAATGTCTTGATGGTGTTTTATACATGAGAACAATGAAAAGACCTATATAAATATATATATATATATTATTTTGATGTGTCTATCTTCATGTGTGCATATTTATACGTGTCCTGGATTGCCTGGAATATGAGACATTATTCCTGAACTATTGAGAAATACAGAAATTTCCCCAAAAGATATTTGCTTAATATAGGATAGGATGACGAATGTGATGATTTTGTGGTTGTTTTGGCAAGCTTACTTAGCTTTGTTGTTTCCTGCAGAATTATCTTCTGAGAGTGGATCACAGTCTATTCCTCGGGACATTGAAGCTGAAATGCGTGAAATAAGATTGAGTTTACTTATGGAGATAGAGAAGAGGAAGCAGGCAGAAGAAGCTCTAAGTAAGATGCGATGTAGGTGGCAAAGAATCAGCCAAGATTTAGCTGTTTCTGGATTGTCATTGCCCTCAGATCCCATTGATGTGACAGAGGATGAACTGGTGAATCCAGCTGAAGAACTGAGGCAGCAAGTAGGTGTTGCACGACTTGTATCATTATCTGTGGGAAGTGGCATTGCAAAGGCAGAGATGGAGATGGAGATGGAAGCTCAAATTGAATCGAAGAAAGTTGAAATTGCTCGATTGTGGGACCGACTACACTACTATGAGGCCGTGAATCGGGAAATGTCTCAGAGGAACCAGGAAGCTGTAGGTGAGAATTCTATATCCTGATTTTCTTTCCTTGGCAGAACCAGTCGTTTGAAAAAAGAATTACCAACATTTCTTTGAACTAGTTTCTTTAGCCTGATTCTCTTTATTGAAATTGTCATGCTGCAATGTCTTTACTATGAATTTTATGCGTTACCTTTACATGATTTGATTTTCTTATTTTTGCAATTTATCATTGTCTAATACAGAGATGGCACGGCGCGATAGACAAAGGAAGAAAAGAAGGCAGAGATGGGTGTGGGGTTCAATTGCTGCTGCAATTACCCTTGGGACGGCAGCCTTGGCATGGTCTTACCTCCCAACAGGAAAAGGGTCGTCTTCTGCTGCCAGTCCTCAGGCTCCTGATCACGATGATGCATCTAAGTAATAATTATTCAATTACTATAGCTTTGATAACCTGCCATCATGGCAAGAGAATAAGGTGCTTATATTCTTCCATGTGAATAGTAGTCTCCTGCTTTTTGTTACTAGCAATTTCTCAGCCATGTGCCATCAGAAGATGTACAGTACCATCAAAATAATTTTGAGTTCTAGTTGTTCCTTTCCCCGGCAATCTGGGAGCTGATGAATCATCTAATAATATTGGTCTTTTGTTACCCAAATTTGGCCTATGGTGTGCGTTATGCACACATAATCTCGTTTTAACGTTTCTTCTGATTCAGGCTGGTATCTTTGTTGTGCGAACAAGACTCGTATGCATTCGGAAATTGTAAAAAAAAAATCTGAATATCTGATTTTATGATTAATTTTAATTTCTTAAAATTTCAAGAGTTGATTTTGAAATTTTTTCATTTCTCAATATATAAAATAAAAAACCCAAATATTGTTAAAGATCAAATCCTATCAATCAGAAGGGTTTTTCAAAAACAAATGAAAAAAAGCACAATGATGGTTCCAAGACGCTGCGTTTTATTTATTCGAGGCTGGATCCAAGGATAAACTAATGAAATCATGAATTGTCCTATGGAGGACCAGTTTCATTGAAGCTATCAACAAGCAGAGCAACAGCATTTAAATCCGAGCTCCAATAATGGAGCTAATTGCTCTTCATATTTCTCTGATTTTAACCAGAGAAAGTTTCCTAACCTCCAGGGATAACAAGTTCTCACTTTTCCTTCACTAGAAACGTGTGCACCTTTAAATCCTTAAAGTTCATGATATAGATACGATTTAGATCTTTTTATTTTTGGAATGTTTTACAGGGATTAGATTTTGAAAAGCCTGAGGCAAGAAGGTATCGAATCAAGCTCATCCTGAGCTTAGCTAATAACTATGACAGCTTTGGAGGAAAGAAACAGTATGTAAACAGGGCAAGAAGTCAAGTGCAGCAGTATCTAACATCTGATGATGATTTCTTCCTTCTTACTAGTGTCCCAAAGCATCGCACAAGAATATTGTGACAGTTTTCAGTTTTTAAAAAGGTTGAAGTGAAGCACTATGACCAAATTGATCTACAGTAATTTGTATTTTTCTCCTTTGTTTGATTTAATTTGATTTGGTTACCATTGCCTACAGAATCACCTTCCTGGTATGATTTGTATGTTTTTCCATCATGACAGACAATTGCCACAGATGAGTTTGAAACTCTTGAAATGAACGAGTCAAATTACTTGTATTAGTTCAGTAAGCTTCAGACAACATTTTTATTTGTTAATGTAAAACATCTACGGAATTTCATCTGCATAAAATTGATCTATTTACATCATTGATCTTTCATCCTTGAGCCAATACTGAATCACGTATAGAACAAAGCCTAGGCCAAATCCAGCAGAAGCCAAAAGAACAATTACCTGTACCCACAATGAGGAATTAAATGCTGTCAAAACAACAGCATCCCATGATATGTACCACAAAATTGAGAAAATCGACCCTACGACAGCCCCCACAAGAATTTGATTAATCGTGTGAAGCTGCTGTGACACTCGAAGCCATGACTGCAAGCCAGAAATCAACATAAAAACCAGTAATAAGATAACTCTTTCCACAAGCTTCACAATTCAGAACTAATAAACAAAAAATCACAGCTTTCCACTGCTATAAAAAACAAAAGAATAAACTTTTAATGTAATTTTTATAATATATACTCACAAAATATGAACCAAATGCCAGAGCAAGAAAGCTGATGCTCACTGAAAGTTCATTAACCCCCAGCCATTCCAAAACTGTAAAACCAAATACAGAATTTAAATATCATTCAATTTGAAAAGACAATCTTAAAACTTTCAAGTTTGAATTTCAGATTAGACTCTAAACTCAATTGCCTACTGAAATGCAAATTCTTGGAAGCTAATGTAAAGTGAATAAAACAAAACAAAGATAAACACTTTCATTAAGGAGTGAGTGTGGGGGCTTTACTTGAAGCTATGGTAAACATGACGGTGAAGAAAATGGATTGAGCATGAGACGATGGCATCCCAGGGTCAGATTTAAGCCCAGCAACAGGCCGGTCCTGATTCAGCACCCGTTTCAGCCCAACTGACAGCAGCGCATTCACAATCGACCCCATCGCCATCCACAAAGCCTCCGCGTCATGCCGCCACACAATCACCCCACCGAACAAAGCCGACACCAGCCACTTGCTCTATCATCCCCAATAAACCAAAACCCCATTTCAGCAAACATGGGAAAAAATACACACCCAAATACCCTTTTACCGTATATACATAAATACACTCACCAGACGATTTAAGGCGGGCTCCAACCCTTGAAGCCGTACTGGCCCGTTAAAGAAAGCTTCTTGTTCAAGCACTTGAAGACCATCATCTCCGTTCCTAGAGTCCTTAATATCTGTAGTTTTAATCATGGTTCTGGGAGAGTCCCGCTCTCCGGCTCGCTTGGCCAAGAATCCTCCAGAAAAACTTGGTTTGCTGGTCCGGAATTGAAGGAAATACCTTGGGTTTAAAGATTTATTAAGCTTAGGAGAAGAACTAATATTGAATTTGAAGCGTGTAGAGTCAAAAAGTCTTGAAATTGAAGACATTTTTTTGGAAAGTACGACCGGTGTATGGCAATGAATGAAGTGAAGAAGAGGAAAAGCATTTTTTAAAATTTATTTTTGAGACCCGTGGAAATGCGTGGAGAGAGGAAATGGGTTTTTGTTTTTTTAGAGTAATACTTGGATGAGAAAATTCCAAGTTGCGGGCGTCTAACTCGGCTTAGAACCCTGAGTTAGGACTTCGCAGTTCCGTGTCTGACCTCAATGTCTGTTCTTGCAAGAAAGACATATCCTCTGCGATGCTTTTTCGTCAGCTTTGTCATGTCTCCAACCAGAACTGGTCAAGTGTTAGCCTTCAACGTTTTTCGTTCATTTTATATGATATGATTTTTGTTGACCTTCTTTGCGAGTATATGTATATTAATTAAATAGATTGATAAATAAAAATTTATATATATAGATTTTAAGCTACACTATCATAATCATACAATAGATAACATGAAAATTAAATTAATAAAAATACAAAAAGAAGATTAGAGACATACAAAATGAGGTGGACAACTCTAGGATTAAGTTTTGTTTGTTTTCTTCTTTATATCATTTTTCAAAAAAAAAAAAAAACATATATGGTAGAAAATAAGACAAGTCATGAGCCACACATCTTTGATCTTGTATTTAAATAACGAAAAGGAATTTCATGAGCTTGGATTCCTTTCTAGTATTAATTCTCCTTTCATTATTGAAAGTCTTAAGTTTTTTTTATACAAAATATTATTTTATACAAAATTTTAGAGTTTTTAAAATTTTATTATCCAGATTAAAAGATTATTGTGTATTTTTTTATTATATAAATTTTTAAAATATATTTTTAAAAAATAGTTTGGAATATTTTTAACTTGGTTGATGAAAGTTTTATGGTATATTAAATAATTTTTCATAAATAAATCTAATTGTCATCATAATTTTGCCAAATTAATTGGCCATATGCAACATGAACGGCCATGTTAGACTTGTAAAAAGGCCCATATTTCAGGCCCCCTTTTCTGGTAGATCAACGCCCATAAGGAACTGGCAAAATCAAAGGTAGGATGAAACAATGTTTTTTTTTTGCATGTTTTTGTCTGTCAAGAAGCAATGCCGTTATAGCTGTTTTTGTTTTTCCAATACGTTTCTATTTCTTGATGAAATCATTCATTTCTTAGTATACTTTAAGAAAGCTTTCTGTTGAGAAATGACTTGAAATTTCTACCAAATGTGAAAATGAAATTTTGACTGTTGCTAAAGTACTTCTGCCATTGTTACAGTAACAGACACCAGTAACAGCCATCGTTGTTATAGTAATAGAATCATTGCCAAAGTGACAGTTGTTGATATTGCGGTGAAACGTGAAAAAAATTTTTCTACGAGTAAGTATAGAGTTATAAAAATTTTTCATACCAAAAAATCAAAAAGAAAAAGGTTACAGAGCAAGAGAAAAAAAATCAAAGAGTGAGTAACAGTCGTCATTGTTACAATAAAATGTGAAAATTTTTTTCCTATAAGTAAGCATGTAGTAGTTGTAGAAATTCTTCATACTAAAAAATTAAAAAGAAAAGTTAAAGAGCGAGAGAGAAAAAAATTTAAGAGTAAGTACCAGTTGCCGTTACTACAGTAAAAAGTGAAAAATTTTTGCTTATAAGTAGGCATTAGAAAATTTTCATACCAAAAAATCAAGAAAAAAAGCTAGAGAGCAAAAGAGAAAAAAAATTAAAGAGTGAGTAATAGTCATCGTTACTACAGTGAAACATGAAAAATTTTTAACTATAAATAGACATGGAGTTGTAGAAATTCTTCATATAAAAAAATCAAAAACCAAAGTTAGAAAACAAAAGAGAAAAAATCAAAAAGTAAGTGATAGTAGTAAATCAGAGAGTGAGTAGGGTTGGCAGCCTAATTCGGAATCGACAGATTTTGATCCGACTTTATAGGGTCAACTTTTTTTTAAAAATCAAATTTTAGGGTCAGGTCAGGTCGGGTATTAATAAATAAAAATTGGGTTTGAGTTTTAGGCAAACTCGACCCGACCCAAATTAATATTATATAAAAAAAATTTTAATTTTTTTATATATATTATATTTTAAAACATAATATTTTATTAATTTCAAATCGGATCAGGTATGATTTATACAATATCGAATTCGGGTCAGATTCGAGTTAAAAAATTTCGAGTTGAGTACAGATTTTATAGTTATAAAATCGAATCAGGTTCGAGACGAATAAAAATTCGCGGCGACCCGATCTGTTGCTATCCCTAAGAGTGAGTGAGAGTCATCATTACTATAGTGAAACATGAAATATTTTTGCCTATAAGTAGGCATAAAGTTGTCGAAATTCTTCATACCAAAATATCAAGAAGAAAAGCAAAAAAGCAGGAGATAAAAAATTAAAGAATGAGTGACAATTATCATTATTATAGTGATTCATGAAAAAATTTTACCTATAAGTAGGTATGGAGTTGTCGAAACTCTTCATACCAAAAAATCAAGAAGAAAATTTAGAGAGCAAGAGAGAAAAAAAAATCAAAGAGTGAATGACAGTAATGAATCAAAAAGTGAGTGACAATCATTGTTATTATTGTGAAACGTGAAAAATTTTTGCCTATAAGTTGGTATGGAGTAGTAAAAATTCTTTACACCAAAAAATCAAGAAGAAAAGCTAGAAAGCAAGGGAGAAAAAAATCAAAAAGTGAGTGACAGTTGTCATTACTACAGTGAAACGTGAAAAATTTTATCTATAAATAGATTTGGTAATATCAGATACGATATGATGATATAATACGAAAAAAATTATATATATATTTTAAAAAAATATGTTTCGTATTTATTTGTGTTGATACAAATTTCAATATGACATAATTTGTATTGTATAAGTGTTGACACATCTAAACATATGACACAATACGAATAACATATTTAATTTAATATTGTCATACGAGTATACGTTTAATATATTTAATATATTTAATATATTTAACACGTTTAACATATTTTTTATATTTATTTTAATTTAATATAAATATATAAAGATTATTTTAATTTTTAATCTTTTAATTATGATATTTAATTAGTTATTTAGTATCATATAAAATTACTTTAAACATTTAATTATGATATTCATTTAATAATTATTATAAAATTATTTTTTTATATTAATAATATAAATATTAGTATTAATCTTATACATTATTATTTTATTCTTTAATTTTTAATAGTTTTCGATTTTGAATTTATATTAAAAATTAATATAGTTATGTAATATAAATTAAAATTTAAATATATATTAAATGAGTTTTTATTTTTTATTTTTTTAATATATAAGTACTTTTATATTATTAATATATTAAATTTATTAAGTTATAAATGATAGATAATTTATAGTTATTTATTATTTTAGTCGTGTTTTAATATATATTCATATTAATCGTATCTATTCATATATATCAATATTAATCTTGTCTATTCATATATATTCATATTATTCATATTTATACATATCGTGTTTAAACAAATTAATTATATACATGTTAGTCATGTTGTATCACATATAACATGTATAATAAACGTGTCGTGTTCGTGTTTTAATAATTCGTGTCACTACACGTGTCAAACACGATATAAAATATGACATAAAAACACGAATTATCATACCTACCTAATAAGTAGGCATGGAGTTGTAGAAACTTTTCATACCAAAAAATCAAGAAAAAAAGCTAGAGAAAAAGAGAGAAAAATTCAAAGAGTGAGTGATAGTCGTCGTTACTACAATAAAACGTGAAAAATATTTGCTTATAAGTAGGCATGGAGTTGTAGAAATTCTTCATACCAAAAAATCAAGAAAAAAATCTAGAGAGGAAAAGAGAAAAAAATCAAATAGTGAGTGACAGTCGTCGTTACTATAATGAAACATGAAAAATTTTTGCCTATAAGTAGGCATAGAGTTGTAGAAATTCTTCGTACCAAAAAATCAAGAAAAAAAGCTAGAGAGCAAGAGAGAAAAAAAATCAAAGAATGAGCGACAGTTGTCGTACTACAGTGAACGTGAAAAATTTTTGTCTATAAGTAGGCATGGAGCTATAGAAATTCTTCATACCAAAAAATCAAAGAAAAGCTAGAGAGCAAAAGAGAAAAAAAATCAAAGAATGAATGAGCAAAAAGAATAAATGGTGCTCACGGTGAGATTTTGGCTAGATTTTTTTCTTGATTTAGTAACCATCAAATATTAAAATTTGGTTAAGCCATTTATAGTTGATTCATTCTGGCTTTTTCTCTTTTTGTTCGACATAATTTTTTACCATAAATACTAAATTTGGATGTGGACTAATAGTGGGTTTTATAAGTTTTTTTTGTAAAAGTTTATTGATTTGTATATTGAATTCATCTATATCTTGTTTAGCATAAATCATTTATTTTACTCTAATTATTTTTTTTGAATAAAAAATTTTTAAATTATAAAAACGAGGATTTCTAGACCATAATTTATTAGTTCCTCACTAAAATTTTCTTTTAATATTGTATATAACCAATGTGTTTTATTAATTGATTTAATTTTTATTTTTTTGGTTTTCGATCGAAAATCAAAGTCATATATATATTTATGATTTTTTATTAGTGGTATTTCTATAGATTCTTTATCTATAGTAAAAACAATATTATTGTTATTCAAATAAAAAGGTAAATAATTATATATATAATTATTTTCTAATAACATATCAACGTGAATAAAAGAAAAATATAAAATTTTTGGGATTATGAATTTTTTATTCATAAAATATATAAAAACTTTTTTTGCTTTATATCCTATTATTGTTTCTTTTCCATCAATTCCTATTACCGCTATAAAGTATTTCATTGGCTCCTATTTTTCTAATGGTAAAACATTACTTCTATAGTTACATATAGTTGCTCTGGTGTCTATTAAAATATTCTGTGAGTATAGTTTATATTGTTTAAATCTAAATTCTACTTTCACATAGTTGTAATACCTTTTTGGTTGATTTGTTGAAAATTTAATTACTTCATCATTACTAATTTTATATTGGTTGATTATGACCAAACTGTGAATATTATCTCTTTTAGTATTTTTAGAAGAAATTAAGTTTAAAACGAGTTTATTAAGTTGTAAATTGACCTTTCTTGATTTTGACTATTTATATCTCCTAAAAAAAATAGGGATATTTATATTTTTTGTACTTATTGATAGAGGTTGAGAAATAAAAAATACCTATGTGAACAAATGATTGTTCACTAACAATACTCTCATTGTTTTCATTATCTATACTTGAGAATGAAAGTATAGAAAAAGGTAATGGTAAAACTAAATTGTTACTAGAACTACTTTCTCCATAATTTTTGAAATACAGGTTATTTTTTTATGCAAAAAATTTCATAAATTTTATTTTTCTATGGGGAGGAACATGCTCTGTAATACCCTTTAATAACCATCCAATGGGTACTGATAGATCTCTAAGATTTATTAATCTTGATTTGATTTTTGAATCAAAAGGTCTTGTCATAACGTCTAGTTCCGGAGATCTATCGCTAGACATTGACTTAAGGAGTCGTCACCAATCTTTTTTTATCTAGGTGTGATTGGCCACCTAAAAAATCTGTCTTTTCAGGGAACACTTAAGTTTAAGGGTTTCTAAAAGAATAAGTTCAGGTCTACTAACCAGAACAGGGTTTGAGAGTTCGATTACGTGTAAGGAAGGTTATAGCACCCTCACAACGCCCATCGAAAGATGGTACCAGCTTGATTTTGTGTTATCCAATAAGTCTTAAAAATTTACCAAGTAATTAATTATTGAAAATTATTTTCAATTGACTCTAATACTTTTAGCAGAAAATTGAGAAATCTCCTCACCTCAAGAGTATGCTAGAAAACTACTATTTCACTTGCAGAGGCTCTATCGTCGGATTATTTAACATTAAAGGAAAATTCAAGAAAATAAAAAGGAAGAAAAAAATGATTGTTTTTGTACAGAAAAATTTGATACTTTTAACTTTTTCTCAAAAATATTTTTTGAAACTTTAATTTCGAAAAAAAATTGATACTTTCAACTTTTCCTCAAAAATTCATTTTTTGAAAACTTATTTTTTAAGAAAAATTGATACTTTCAACTTTTTTTCAAAAATATATATTTTTTTTGAAAACTTTAATTTTAAGGAAAATTGATACTTTCAACTTTTCTTCAAAAATATTTTTTTGAAAATTTATTTTTAAAGAAAATTGATACCTTCAACTTTTTCTCAAAAATATTTTTTTTTACAGTTCCTGTAAAATGTTGACAGCCATACTGATACAATCTCCAAGCATCGCTTCCAAGAATATCTTTAGTCGTTGGTCGCATTGGAGTTATAGGAGGATGATCACCAGCATCTGTTCCTGAGCGTGGTTTATGATAACCTTCAGCAAGCAGTCTTTGGACATAGTCACTCTATAGTGGATTGTTTTCTAGTGCCCTAAGTGTGCTTTTGAAGTCAAACGATGAAGGATATGTTGTACTTTCGATTCGTGGATAGCTTATGAAACCTTGTGTATATAAGCGTTCAACAATTTGCATGGTCGTCTGAGGTCCAAAGCTTAATGCACTTGAAGCAACCTTAGGTCCAAAGCTTAATGCACTTGAAGCAACCTTCAAAAGATTCACTGTGTTGAGACCAGAAGGTTGACCTTTGCTTTCCCGTTTTTCTGATACGTCAATTACTTCAAGAATTCCATCCTCTGTCACCAACTTTTGGAACATTGTTGCAACATCTAAGTCAAATAACTTTTGACGTTTCCATTCTAGATGAAGCTCATAACCATTCTGAATAATGTAGGGACGTAATGCCCAAAACTTTTCGGGCTTAAAAGTATTAATTTGCAAATATCGCTGCACACAAAACCCTAATGTAAGGGTTTGACATGGTCCACAGCTCAAGATCAGCTGATGAAATAGGCTCACCATTTAGAAATGCTTCAGCAAGTTTATCATCCACTTCAGAAACCATTTCAATCAGTTCCCATCTTTTTTCTGTAACTGTGGCCTCCATTTCTGCTGGTATTTCTTTAGCATCAACTTTTTCTCCGTTGGAACCATGAAAATAATAAGCTTTTAGTTGCACGAGATCGATAAGACCCTAAAAATTTTCTTCCAAGCCAATTGGGACTTGCACAGCTACACTGTGATGTCGAAGCTTAGACCTTGCCTGGTTGAGAACTTTTCATGGATCAGCTCTCATTCGATCAAGCTTGTTAATAAAGACGAGTCTCAGAACCTCATATCTTCTCATTTGTCGATCAACAGTAATTGACTGACTTTGTACACCACCAACACTACACAGAACCAAAATGGCACCGTCAAGAACACGCAGCGCCCTTTCCACTTCAATCATAAAATCAACATGACCGGGTGTATCGATTATATTAATCTGATAATCTTTCCAGGTGCAACACGTGACAGCAGATTAGATAGTAATTCATTTCTCTCTTTCTGAATCCATGGAGTCCATCTCTACTCTGACGCCGTCTTTGCCACGAACTTCATGGATATCATGGATTCAGCCCGTATAATAGAGAATCTGCTCCGTTAGCGTGGTCTTGCCCGAGTCGATGTGAGCGAAGATTTCGATGTTTCGAAGTCGTTCCATTGACTTGCTTCGCTTTGAAGGAGAAACTGCACTGTTTAGCATTGCTTTTGTTTCCTGCCCAGCATAAACCACCACGCCTAATATCCAATCCATGTTCTTCAGCTGATAACCACGTAAAACAATGTTTGATTGGCTAAGGGGGAATTTTTATCCATTAAACTCCGTGTTGGCTGTGAACTCATAAATATTCCTATTAGGCTGCTCACATCCGATCAGCCCCGATATATTACAAACTTCAAATACCAAAGAAGCTGTTTCCTGCCTAGCATATTTTGTCTTCAGGTTCGATTCATCATCCAAATTCATGGTCTGGATGTAGGCAAGTCCACTAGGGTCACTTGTCCCTAAGAAAACAATGTCGCAAGGAATTGTCTCATCGACGTGGATCTTGACGACCTTTCCTGCTCTTATCCTTTTCCATTTCTTCATTTGGAATTCCCCCAACTGGAGAACTAGTGCCTCTCGATTGTTCTCATTTCGGTCTGACCTATATTTTCGCCAATCCTCATAACCATCTTTAATTATCGTGACATAAAGCACAAACAAGAGTGGGAAAAGAGACACAGTTCTCCCAAAGACTGCTACAGGTGGAATTTAATTAAGAGCCGTAATAGCCAGGAAATACAAATAGGCCACTTGATGAAACTGAATGAAAAGATTCTTGGGCAAAAACGTGATAAGTGTATACTTGCTTGTCCGAATGTCATTCCCACTGAACTCGTACTTGTCATTTGCTCTCCTCGGATCATTAATGTAGATCAGCCTTAGATTTTCCATTTTTGGAAGCACCAAATGCTGAGAAATCCCAATCATCAAACATTCCAGATCTCCAAGAAGGTCCCCTTCCCCTCAAACCTGGAGCAATTCCATCAGATTGGACAAATCTTGGTCTTTAAGAACTTCTCGGGTCAAGGATGGAGAGGTCACAAGGATAACAATCCTGCTCCCAAGTTGGAGTTTCACAACTAACCCGTAAGTATGAGCTAGTACAACAGAGTAAGAGTGAAAGTAAAGGTCAATGAAGGGAAGGTTTCCCACCAAGATGAAGCCTCGAGGGCTTAGTGGCGATGGGGGTTTCCCTTTTTGTTTTGCTTCTGTTTTTTTTCTCTCCTGCAGCTTGTATATTCATTGTTGATATATAGACCATACTGATAGAGTTTCAATTCAATTCCAATTAGTCATCCAATGCTAAAGATTAGCATCTAGATAACAATCATCACAATCACCAAGCTTAATCTCAATCTTTCAGCTTTTTTCTCTCTTTTTTTTTTAATTAATCAGATAATCAAAAGAAAGAAAAAGAAAATAAATCATAAAATAAAAATAAAAATGATAAATATGAAATAAAAAAAATCTAAAATAAAATGAATAAAAATTCTTGCAACTGAGCTTGGATTAATCTCAATTGACAAAGAATCCTGAACAAAATGGGGTGTCTACAAGTCTTAGTTCAAATATTTCTATAATATTAGAATCTATATCTTTAATAGATGTAAAACTATAATTGGTGAATTCATTTATAACTCTCCGGTTTATAAACAAATCATGAGTAACATCTCTAATTTTTAACTTTTTTGTCATTATTCTTTATCTAAGGTAGACTTTTATTAAAGGGACACTAATAAAAATAAAATAATTTGATTTTACTTTAAACCAAACAGCACCTAGTACAATATTTGATTGTATTCTTCCTATTGGTGTTTTAATAGGATTTTCAAATTTTTTATCTATTAATACTACTATTATTGTTATATCATTACCAACTTTGAATAAAAGCCTTTATAATTATCATAATTATTCCTAAATATATATATTTAACTTCATGATTTTTTGTTTAATTCTCCTAATTTTTTCTTTAATAAATAAAAAAATATCTATAGATCCTTAATTAGAATCAATAACTATAGTATTGCCATTAAATTTTTCTATGTGTCTTTTTATCTATGATTTGATTTTTAAAAAGACAAAAAGTTAATAGATTTCATCATTTTTTAATGGTTATAGTTTTTTTAACAATTCATTTTAAATAATATTTGATCTTAAAACGTCACATAATTTTATCATTTGTTATTCTTCAACACATATATTTTTAATTTGAGAACTAAATTGAGATCTTTATATCACAGCTATTGTAAGTAACCTTTTAAGTCGAACCACATATGTGTTCATTAATTTATTCTTGTTGCCATTTTGTTTTTCACTTACCAAAATAGTTTATTCTGATTAAGGGGTCTAAGCATTTTTTGCATAACAAACTGGTATCAGAGTGAGTTCTATAAGGCCTAGATTTCCTGTAGCACTAGAGAAGCACTGTAGCTGTTCGTAGCTGTACTGTAGCACTAGAATTTTTTAAATTTCGTGATGATAGCAAACGCAACATCTTCAACGAAATATAAAGTGGAGAATTTCAAGAAAGAAGCTCCGAAAATCCACTGAGAGCACTGCAAAATGGAAGTTGGGGAAGAAACTGCTGCAGTAAATGCTCTTTGCATGAACGAGGGAGATAAAGAAATTAGCTATGCCAATAATTCTCTCCTCCAGGTTTCTTTTTTTTCTGTAGTAGATTAGATTGTAGCTCATTGTTTCTTATCTAAAGCCTTTGATTTTTCCCTCTTTATTGGCTATATTCTTTCAGAAAACAGTGATTTTGAAGACGAGGAGAGTCCTAGAAGATACTATCAAAGACTTGTCAAGCAATGTTCTTCCAACTTGTATTAAAGTGGCAGACTTTGGTTGTTCTTCAGGGCCCAACACCTTCTCAACAATCTCTGAAATTGTTGACGTTGTTCATGAGATTTACCGACGAGCACAGTTGAAATTCCCCAAGTTTCAAGTGTTTTTAAATGATCTGCCAGGAAATGACTTAACTACAATTTTCAGGTTAATCTCCATTAATCCTGGTGAAGCAGGATTGGATCCCAAATTCTCAATACAACATTTGGAAAATAAATTTTGTTTGATCAACAGTATATGAAATCACCGTTCGAATCAGGTCTGTTCCTGCTGTCCTTGATGAGCTTAAGAGAGAAAAAGGAGATCTCTTTGGACATTGTACAATATCAGGAGTATCAGGTTCCATTTATGGAAGACTTTTTCCAAGCAGAAGTCTACATCCTATACATTCTTCTTGTAGTGTTCACTGGCTATCAAAGGTTTGCACCTTTTCCATGAGTTAAGAATTCGGAAAATTGCTCTCTTTTTTTTTCTTTTTTCTTGTTAACTTGTGCTAATCATCCGAATGATAGTCAGGTCCCAGATGGAGTTGAGAACAACAAGTGGAATATATACATGGCAAAATCAAGTCCTCCCAATGTATTTAAAGCTTATGCAAAGCAATTTCAGGAGGACTTCTCATTGTTTTTAAGAATGCTATCAGAAGAAATAAAACCTCGAGGGCATATGGTCCTTACCTTAATGGGTAGGAGAAACCCAGACCCTTCCACCGAGTTTTATGGTTGGGAATTGCTAGCAACATCACTTTGTGATTTGGTGGGAGAAGTTATTTTCCTTCCATTCCCAACCTACTTAATTATTTTCATCCTCATTTTCTTTTTGTATGTTAATTGATATTTTTCATTGTAGGGACTTGTGAAAGAGGCTGATTTGGATTCATTCAACCTTCCGCAGTATACACCATATAAGGAAGAAGTAAGGGAGATTATTCAAGAGGAGGGATCCTTTGAACTTGACAGGCTAGAAGTTTTCGAAGTCGATTGGGACAAGAAACAAGATATCAACAACAATGGTCTTGTGTTGGACAAGTATGAAAGGGGGCAAAAGCTTGCAAATATTGTAAGAGCTATTAAAGAACACTTGCTTGCTTGTCATTTTGGAGATGCTATAATTGATAGGTTATTTGCAAGGTTAGCACTACATCAGGCAGAGCATCTTGATTCCAAATGATGCTAAGGTGGTTAATTTTGTGGTTTCAATGACAAAGAAGTAGACAGCAAATATTTATATGCTTTAACTTTAGTTAAAAAAGGCAGCTGTATTCTATTATCTATCTGAATACCTTATATAATTAAGTTAGCTCTGTTGAACGTATTAAGAGTTAATATGTGTTTGGACCTCTATTGGATTAATAATTACCAAAGTTCTGAAATATAAAAGCATTCCTTGAGGTCTAAAAAATATCTTGGTCTTCTGAACGGAATTTCTGGTTACCAGTCTAAATCATTCCTGTGTCAAGTATATCTTAAGCATTAGATAAACAAAATTTTAAAATTTAATTTAATTGATTAATGTAAAAAAAATTAAAATAAATGTAAATTTTAATTCAGCTGGATAATGCCACTATCGTCTTATAGCCTCTTTTTTCACTGCTTTGGAGCAAAATTCGCTGCCAGCTGTGTCAATTTAAAAAATAGAAAGAGGGAAAAGAAAACCCAAAAAAAAAAAAAATTTGTTTCATGCCTTGTGGCCTTTTCTTTTTGTTTGGATAAATGAAATTGCATTCATCCAAAGAAGCAAGCTGCTATAAAATGAACAAAAAACTGCAAAGAGCAGTAAAACAATCTTTACATATATAGCAAAAACCACCATGAACAAAAGCAGAAATTGAACAAACATATCCTCCTATACTCGGCTAGTTTTGATAAATCATCCTGTTGATCCTATCACTTGCAATCTGCTGGAATCTATCAAGTCTTCATCTGACGACATCTTTAATGTGATTTAGAAAAACAAGAACAGTACTGGCCTTCGCACCATGAATCTTGCTGCCATTTATCCAATCCTGATAAAGCAAAAGATAGGCACCCCAAAGTATGGTTATTTTTTAAATTTTATTTTTAAAAAAACCATTATTTTTTCTTTTAAATTAGAAATGATACAATAACTTATATTTTATAAGTTTCGCCTTATTTCTGATTTAATAGGATCAGATTTATTTTAAACAAAGGTCCGTCAAAAGCGATTGGGCTATTTTTTAATGTCAGATTCGGGTTGGAATTGATTTTTAAGTTGCGCCTTCCCTCCCCGATCAGGATATCTATAAAAAAAAATGTATTATTTATTTAATTTTATATTTATATATCTATTATATTAATAAAATTATTATTTAATATTTTAATTTAAGATATTAAGTTAATAAAAATATTATATTTATGTATAATTAAAATGTAATTTATGTTAGAATAATATTTTATAAAAATTATATTAAATTAATTTTGAATTAAATTGATTACTGTTTATAAATGTAGCAATCGAATAAAAAATAATATTTTAATATTAAAATAAAATGTTAATATTTTAATATATATGTGTACTAAAAAACATACCTAATTGAATTCTCATCCCATGAATTCCGTTCCGTAGGAATTCTCATGAAATTTTGGCGTGGTTTATTTATAATCACAAAATTAAGATTGAAATCATGAAATTAATGATAGAATATTAATTACCTCAAAAAATATTACAAAAAAGGAAAAAAAATGAATCAATGATAGTTTAGCAGCGGCAACAGCAGCTGGAAACTGTGCTACCATCCTCATTCTGATATTTCTCAGCCAATAGTATTAATTACAGGGGAAATTATTAGGAAATAAATTGGAAAATTCCTGAAATTAATGAAGGGTTAATTTTTATTTATTTATACATAAAGATGCATAAAATATAGTAATATTTATAGAATGCAATAAATAGTTTGACTCTGAAAACATCTAAAAGGTAAAAGATATATACATATATATATATCATTTATCATTTACCATCATTTATATATAAAATCGTAAACTTTAAAAAATATTAATAGTAATAGACCTAATAATTCTTATAAATTTTTAAATTAATAAATTTATCTTTAAATATATATATTTTTTAAATTAATAAATTTATCTTTAAATATATTAACTTTTATTAATTTAAATCAACTAAAATTAAAAATAGAATTTGTATGAAATTAAACTAATTTTAATTTTAAAATTTTAATTTCAAAAATGTTAAAAATGATTGATTAAAATATTTTTAATAAATTTTAATTTAAATGATTTTTTTATTATTAGACTATTTTCTTTTATAATTAGACTAAAAAAATGTAGCAATTGACTAAAATACTCTTAATAAAATTTTAATCCCAAAAATATTAAAAGTAAATACCATTAGTATTTTTTTTTATAAATTTTATATTAAATGACTTTATTTTTATTATTAGACTATTTTTTTATAAATGGAATAATTTTTCACATCAAATGAAAATACAATTAGAAAGTATCAAAACTTGATGTGCTTAGAAATAAAACAATTATATAGAGTTTGTTTCTTTAGTTATTGTAAAAATAATTGTATATATAATTTATGTTGATAAATAAACAAATTAAAGATAATTATAATTAAGTCATTTAAGCATATTTGGTTTTTTATTTAATTTTTTGTTTTAATATATTAATATATATGCATGTTAATGATTTTATTATTTATATGTTTTATGGGTTGATTATTTGATCATAGATAACATAATTAAATATTTTTAATTCTTTAAAATAATTTTTTAATATATTATTCTTACAGTTTGGTTTGACTTCTATAATTAATTTTTTATAATTTTTCCCCTAGAATTTTATAATTGTTGTTCTTATAAATAAAAATTAATATCAAATCAATTGTAAATCAATTGCACCCCCTCCACGAACAATTAGCACTATTTGAATCTTTAAATATTTTAATTGGACTTTTTATTTGTAAAATTAGATGATTCAAAAGATAATAGAGCTACTAGTAACTTAGGATTGGATTCCGTTAAATTGTCATAAGAATTATTCACGTTGATTGTAATAATAATTAATTTAATTTTTTTCTCAACTTTTATCTTAATATGCATATATATAATTAATTTATATATTAAGATTATTTAATCTTTCTCCATTTATATTAAATTGCTTGCTTTTTTTAAAGTCATCTAGGTGATTGAACGACATGACATAAATTATTCTAAATAAAAATTATCAAATGAAGTAAAATTAATTGTTTTTGGTGAATTCTTTCAAGGTGCGATAAAATTCATTGTAACTATCTTTTGAATATGTTTATACCAAAGTTACATTTATTCATGAAAATTTATATTGTTAATGTTACAAATGAAATAATTATAAATTATATAGGTATTACATAATAAGTTTATTGTTCTTAGAATTTGAAATTTCTTAAGAAAACATCAAAAGTATCAAAGTTAGGAATTTATTTTATTTTATTTTTTAAAATTATGTATTTTAATTTTTTATATAATAAAAATTTATGCATAATAAAATTTTTTAAATAAAAGACAATTTGAGCTTTCAATTGATAGAATGTACAATTACATTCAATTAATGGAAGCACCAATATAAGATTATCCTAAGCAAAAAATGAAATGAAAATTTTATTAGTTATGTATAACTCCATCATCTCAGTATAACAAAGAATGTTAGTGTTATATGTTGTTTCAATAAAAAAAAATGTATTGATTTTAAATTTTTTTTAGGATTAATATGAAATTTTTTTATTTAGAAAAATATTATATACTCTTTCATTTTCTTTTTTATGTCAATTGAAGAATATTCATTGTTGTATCCAAATTTTTAAAGTTATCATATTAGATAATATTTGTTTAAAAGAATTGAAATTTATCAAATTAATTATCACTATTACATTTAATATTATAAATTAAAACTTAACTAAACTTGAAAGTAACTTAAAGGTATTATTTAGCAAAATTCATTTGATAATCTTTATTTAATTTTGTATTTAATATTTCAATCATTTTTAATTTTGGCTTTTACAATTTTGAATTAGATTTTAAACTTTGAATCAATGATAAATTAGATTGAGTCAAGTTTTATCATCTACTTATATTCATAGTGTACTTTTTTCACTTATGCAATTGAGCAAATTTAACTCAATAATTAGAGCATGCTTCTCTTTGTTTAAAAAAATTGTATTCAAATCATCTTAAAGCAAATAAAAAGAAGTATGCTCAATTATTTATAATTGCAATTGCATTTTTAAAATACTTTTAAAATTAACTAACTAATTTAAACTTTTAAAATTAAGTAACTAATTCAATCACAAAGACAATAAAAATAAGAATTGAAGATGAAAGAAAAAACACAAATAAGGAACTTTTAAATTGTTACGAAAGATGAATAAAAAATATTGGATTTTGATTGGGTTAATATTTCAATTAAATTTTAATTATGTTCAATCATTTTTGGTTTTAAATAATTATTAATTTGTTGGTTTTTAAAATCAATTGAAATAGAGTTAAGTTAGTTCATTTTTATAATTATGTGTATTTTATTATTTTTAATTAAATTAAATTTTAAAATGAGTAAAAATTTTATTTATACTCAAATTGAGTTTTGAATTATTTCAAGTTTGAGTTGATTAATCCATGCTATTTTAGTTATAGTTTTATGACACCAATAATAACTTTCAAAATAAAATGAGAACACAACACAATAAAAATTTAAATGCAAAAAGTGATGGAGATACTAATAATAATTTTAGAAGAAAATCCTTAAATTTAAATTTTGCAAAGATTAAAAGATATATCTCCTTTTTGAAATTAATATTGTAGAAATGTTAATATAGATCAGTGAGTTCATAATCATTTTTTTGTTGATCAATTTGATGTTATATGAGTTGAGAAAAACAGTTCAAATATTTTATTTAAAAAAAATATCATAATTCATACTCATTCAGGAAGATAACATAGAGTTAAACATTATTTGGATCGTTATGACTGCTTATAATATTTTTTACTTTTTACAAATGATGAATTTGATTGGCATCAAAATATAAAAATAAAAAAAATTATTTTGAATGATGGCAATAAAAATTAAGCAAGAATTAACCATCTTTTTATTTAGTAAAAGAAATTTTATAGAAAATGATAAGGTAATTATTGTGAATTTAATTTTTTTAAA